ATCCCTGCTGTGCTAGCCGCCTTGGTGCCTCTGATCCTGACGGATTTGGAGGCTAAGGCTGCCCTGTTGGGGCAGCTGAAGAAAGGGGGGATCCGGACAGGGGGTGTGGGCTATCGCAACCCCCCCCCAGCCGGCAATAACCCCCTTCTCTCAAGACGGTGAAGCGGTGGTCTTTATGGCCGCCATAAAGAAGCCGGCAACTGGATAAAGAATGCGCAGGAGGAAGAAGGAGTTTTGAAACGAAAGTCTTTTCTTGGTCGAACTGGGACCTTAATGACATATTTAACACCTGGGAAGCTATAATGTTCCCGACTGATGTTTTCAGCTGCGAAGAAAAGTGACGAAAAGGGGAAGTTACTCTCCCTCCCTTATGGAATTAACAAATGGACAAGGGAAACCAGCCTTTTGATAGAAGGTAAAACTTAAACTCCTTTGTTATAAGTGGGAAGGGAGAGGCATGGGAAAACAAATTTTTACTCTAAGACTTTGCTGGAGGGGATGCCTTGAAGATAAAGAGAACAGAAATTAATTCTAAGAAAGACCTAAAGCACAGATTGGACGTTTTTTCTTTCCCTAATTTGACTTCAACCCTAGAAGAGAAATTGTAAAAAGAAGAAGCTTGTACTCTGCCTGGACTGTTTGATGACTGTGGGACTTTGGGACTTTTGGGAACTGTTTTAAGTTTGAAAATAACTGATTGGTTTAATAATAAGAAGAGGATACAGAAAGAGAAGAAGAAACAGTTTAAAATGGCTCTATCTCTTGATGAACTAAAAAAACAATATTTAAAAATAAAGAAAGAAGGCAAAGATGTTATGGGAGAAGCCCTTTGTTTCCTAGATATGGCACTTGTCATGTGTCAGCAAATTAAACAACAGCTGGAAGAAGCCGAGGAAGAAGAAGCCATTTTTAATGAACTAAACGGTGTGACTAAGAAAGAAAGGAGAAAGAGAGGAGCGAAAAGGAAGGACTTAAGAAATAAAAAAATGTTTATGAAAGAGAAAAAGAAGATGCAAAAACAACAGAATGCTAGAAAGCAAAAGGAAAGAGGAATGCAACAGAAAGGGGAAATCAAGAAGGCAGAGGTTTGGAGAGGAGGGGGTAAAAAGTTTAGGCGGGCTAACAAGGAAAGGGAAAAGGGAGGAAAAAGTTACAAAGGTATAAAGCAAGATAGAGAAAAGGAAATTTTTTTTAGGGATAATGGGTAATATATGGGGCTTTTTTAAAAAAGGGGGGGATTCTGCAAAGTACACATGAGTATTGTAATAGTGGTATTTGTATTATAAGTAGATAAATCAGAACTTTTTAAGATCTAATAAAAGACTAAAATATCAAGGTATAACTTTAAAAGGTTTAATAATGAATGATATTAAGTTTTAATAAAATACTAAACAGAATGTTTAAAATATTAGTTTAAATATAGAGTTTAATGGACTAATGTGTTGACTGTTATGGATTTATTACTGTAGTATTGGTTTCTGAAATAGTAGAATGTACTAAGCAGAATCTGATTGGGATTTAGGTGTTATTTTAAATTTTAATTCAGGGGAATGATAGAAAGGCATCATACTCCGATTAGTGATTCCAGGGGAAACTATTCTTTTTTAAATTGGAAATGAGACAGATGTAAATGGAGAAATGGACAAAAGATATAAAAATATTTTTCTTTAAAGCAAGATTAAATATATAAAACAGAATTAAGATGAGGCAAAAGTGGAGAGGAGTTATATAATAGATATAGAATGGTAAATAAGAAGGGTAATGGTATATAAGAAGAGCATGAATTCAATTGAAGTCCATACAAAAAGAGGTAATCTGGGGCCAAGTTACTTTCTAGAAGAAAGTTTTATGTTTTTATGTTCATGTCTTATGTGTGTGTGTTTAATTAAGAATTAAATAATAAAATCTCGGAGGAAGACTAGATGAGAATAATTATAAACAAGCCAGAGGAAAATATAAATGTGATGACTGAATACCAGATAAATTAGAAAGGAAATACGATTGAATAATGATTAAAGAGAAACAATGTGGAATTTGGTAAAGGGAATTTACGTGTTTATATGGAAATGGGATAAATTATAAGTACGTGATATAAAGCAATATGTTACCTGCCTTGTAAAGATCTACAATGGAAAGAGGTTTTATGTTTTTAATGTTTAATGATGTTTTGTTTTGTTTGTTTGTTTGTAAAATCAATAAAACTTGTTTTTTTTAAAAAAAAAAAATCTGTTCCTTGTTGCAGTCTTTGTGTAGCCTAATACTTTCCCAAAATGTTGCATTATTATGTTTAGTCATTGTGAAAGGCTGATGTGATGCAACCACAAGATCAACCACTAGACTATGATAATGTCTATTAAATTATCTGACTAAGCTGAATTACAAATCCCATTTTAGTCAAGGATTTTAAAAAGAAGGTATAATCACCTAGAAATGTAGCTGGCCACACCATCTATTATTGATATAATACTATATTAAGTAAAATAATCATTAAGCCAGCTAGGTGAATACTTAGCTACCTTTCAGGGTTCGTTCTTGGACATGCACATGGTGAACAATCATTGATGGATCCTTTAACTTTGCCGTAATAACCAGGGGCACAAATATTGCAGTGATCACCAACTGTATTTTCTCTGCAATCCTAGGAAGCAATAATTCATGAATTTTAAAATTAAAATAATAATAATTTCCACTTCATAAATACACAGTGCTCCTACTAATTACCTAAAATGTCAATAGACAGGAATAACAGATAATATATGTATTCCTTTAATTATAAAAAGATTGGTATTTATAGAAAACCAATGGAGTAAAACTGTAGAAAATTCTTGCCATTTCAATATGGGTAATCCTTGGAATGAAAGTAATTAGTTCAGTTTCTTATTTTAACATTCCTTGATGATTGCCCTAATTTCTTCAAGCCACCTGAATCATCTCCATCAGTGATTCATTTTTTATAATGTTTCAATTAAAATTGTAAAATTTAAGTGGTTAAGGCCACCATGCTAACCTAAACTACTGCAGCACACTCCATAGAAACAGTTATTTTGAATTCAGAGCATCTTGAAATATTGTGTGCCTCAGTTTAATTTAGTGTTTCAATCCTTTTTTCCTTGTACTAGTTTCTTTCAGAAAATAACCTCTCATAGTCTAATACTTGTTTGTATTAGCTTTGTAAATCTTACTTTTCAGAGGTCTTTTTTATCTTGAATTATTTCATTTATTTTAAACATTTATATAACTGTCCACCTTAAAGCAGCTCCCAAATATTGATACAAAAAGGATTATTTGTAGGAGTTTACATACCAAACACTTCCCTGTTTCTGAATCACAAGCACTGCTGTGATTGTTGCACTGGCAGGGCACACATAATGAAACTACTGAGGGTAACACTTTTAGGTGTGCGTTTCCATGCCTCTCCCTATAGTATCCGGGTGCACAATCCTACACAGAAAAGAACGTTATTAACATGGTAGACTTATTTTTAAATAAGGCATTTAAGGTATGACAAGATGTTACCCTAAAAAATTTTTTTTTCACTAAGACATACCATACCTGGCAGGAGAATCCTGCATAACCTCCAGGGCACAGGCATTTTTCAATGTGGTGAGCTGGTTCCTTGGCCAAAGGCATGTAATCAGCTTTCACTGCAATATCCATGGAGACATTTGAGATTCTAAAAGGTGTTCCATAAAAACAAAGTAAAAATGAGGCAATCTTCATTTATCAGACAAGAGATAACAATTCCTTATTATTTCCTACCAATTGGGATGGCTTCTGCAAAGAGCTATAGGTTACAAAATTAAAAGGTAGAAATAAATTTCAAAACACAAAATTTGGATTCTTGAGGTACTAGTAGGTAAGAAAAATTAATAAAAGGCTTAAACAAATGGCCCTCCTGGCTAGACATTTCTGGACATTTTCATCCCCAAATATTTAGAAGGACCAGAAGAGCAAGGCTGCTCTGCATAGCAAATCCTGTGATAATAATGTTCCTGAATATGGTAGTCATTAGGTATGTTTATTAAAGTTTCTCTGAATATGCACTAATATTTTTTCAGATAACCTACAAAGGATTGCTAAACTGTGCACTATAATCCGCATTTTATCATGCTGCATTCAGAGCTTCTTCTGAAAAAATGTCCTGATTATCAGAAACATTTTTTAGAAGCATAACCATCAAAAACAGCATAACTTTATATCATATTTATATTTATATATACCGAACAATATGTGGTGAACTAATAAAAGGACTCCATTATTATTACCCATTATTTTTAAGCTGCATTTTATAGTTTTCAATGTTTTTAAAAATAATAGTTATTTGTGAACTCTTGTTTATTAACTTTGTTATATGCCTCCTAGTCACTTGTTTTGTGACCGATGGCTATATGAATTTAATAAATAATTAAATAAATAATATCAAAGTTTGAGCACTTTACCTGCTTTGTTGCAATCCTTGACCATATGAAGCCTTGATAAGAATATATTCAATATGGCTCAGAACTGACATGAAGTCAGAATGTGAAACAGATTCATCTGAAACAGCATTAAAGTATTTCCAGGTGTTCTGGTAAAGACAAGAAAAATATAAACATAAATTAATTAGAAACTGTTAATAACACATACTTGGTTAATCATATTGTTTTTTAGTTTTTTGTGTATAAGTATTCCTCATTTAGTGACCACAATTGGGGCTGGCAACTTTGTCAGCACTGCGATTGTCTTTATGATTTTACTTCAGTTTTCCTTTGCTTTACAAATCTGCAAAGGTCATAAATGCAAGCATTGGTTATAAACTTCCTTTTTTATCACTGTGGTAATTGTAAATAGTCACTGAATGAGTATTATCAATATTTCCCTCAACACCTTAGCTGCCAAAATTAATTGCATATGAAATGTAGAGTGCTTCTGCATTTAATAAAGCTGATCATAAGAATTAGTCATGACACTTTCCTAATTAAGTCTTCACTGGCTTTATGAGCCCAGTGGAATAAAATTAATAACCCGGAGAAACAAACATATAGTAAATTAAGCATATTCTAAATTATTATGCTAAATTTGAAAGATATTGAAAATTATTTTCAAAGTCAGATGCACAAGGCTGTAAGGAGCAAGGCTGACGCAAGAAAATATCTCCTGCTCAAAATATAGTAATATTATTTGATAGATTCAAACCCAAAGTAGTATTATTGCTTATGCCATAACTGTGATAACATTTTTGCCCTCTTCAAGTCATAAAGTTTACATATTACATATACGTTTTATTGAGAAGTTGCTCAGCAACCAGTCTTTCAGTAATTTGTGCAAAGATTTCCAAACCAACTCTGATATTTGTATTCCGCTTTTGGTTCTGGGACAAGTTTATGTATGTATTACGTATGTATATACTGAATGTACAGTATGTATGTATATATAACTTCTAATACATATTTATTATTAAAAACAATTCTAGAATTGTTTCATTCAATTTCTATAGGTTTCCAATCAAAATTTGAAAGAGAATAAGGACATTTTTCATGGACATGAGACATTTTAATATGTCACATGATGATGTCATACAACATACGTTATAAAACATAAATAACCTGAAGTGAAATGGCCTATGATTTTTTTATGTTCACACAAAAAAGAGCAAACAATGTGTCTATTCAACTGTGAGCAAAAACTCTAGATACATTTCTACACATATAACCAAAATTTTAGTCTTACCTCCATCATTAGTATCTCTTCATCTTGCCTTAATCCATTTTCTGGAGCAGGAACATCCATGTAGATGACCTGTTTCCTTGGGCGACCTCCCTTAATCAGAACTTGTGGTTCAAGATTTGCAGTTCCAAGATCATCCAGAGCAAAAAAAGCTACTGAATATTTCAATTTCCCACCATATGACATGAGCTGTTTTGATAAATAAATATATTGTTAATTTAAGATACTTTTGAAGTACTAAAATCTAGGTTTAGTAGCAGACCATTTTTTTCTTCGTGGTCTGCTCCAAACTCTGATCTCCAGAATCATCTCTTTTTTCCTACTACTTTTCATATATTGACTTCATTTACAAATCAAGCAGGAATTTCTTATTTTTCAAGAGAGTCAATATAATTAGGTTTTGCTTTTTGCTTTCCATTAAGCATAATTTCTTGTGCCATCAGGATCAAGAAATATAATCAGCTTAACCTATATTCAGTTTTAAAAAGCCAGTTCAGGAATCTAAGATTTCAAACAAGCACGTTTAAAACAATCTAAAGCAGGGGTGTCAAACTTGCGGCATCACGGCAGCATCATGTGGTGTATTGTGACTTTTTCCCCCTTCGCTAAACCAGGCATGGGCGTAGCCAAGCGCATGATGCATCCAGCCAGTGGGCCATGAGTTTGACAGCCCTGATCTAAAGCTAACAATTGCATTTCATTCTAGAAAAGTAAAAGTAAAATTTACAAGCTTCTCCACTGAGAATATGGGGGTGGGGGGGGAAATGAGGTGAGGAACTATGTTGCAATATATTGTAATTTGATGAAAACAAATTAACATTTGTTACAAGAAGATATGTAATTCGACAGTCCCCAATACTAGTTGATATCCTTGCTTCTGGATTTCTTGAGGGATAATTTCATTATTTCTCTACTTCTTAGTTTTAGTCACCTTTTAATCACTTGCTTTCATTATTTGCTTGCTTTCAACAGCAATTTTTCTATTACCATATTCTTAGCAAATAGAAGACCCTAAATGTCACACACTTCTCTTTAATGTAATCTTAATATATATGCCTTACATAAAAATCAAGTACAAGAATAAGCACAATAAACAATGAAAACAATACAATGCAACTTCGGAAATGTAGATTATTGTAAAAATATACAACTAGTTCTTCATTCTTCTGGACTCTGTCTGTACTTCCCCAGTATGGGAAACCTTGCCCCCAAAACACACCTTCATCTTCCTTTTAGAAAAAATACCATGCTTTAAAATCCAAGTAGCAATTATGTTAAACAACTACCAACACATCAGACAGCTAAGAGAGCATCAATTCAGAGTCAGAAAACCACGGCATTTTGTTGGGCTTTCAATGACAGTACTAGCTAGCTACAACCCCAGGAATATGCTACAGTCTCTGTCTCTAAATTCATTCTGAGTCTAGATTCTTATTGAGTCTAGTAGCTTTCAAAATTATGCAGGTGGTCTCAAAAATAAAAGATATGTAAAATTGTAATAGTTTTGCTGTGAACATACAGTGAATGTATATTAATGAATGTAAGTATTCAGAAATACACAGTGAATTTTCTTCAGAATTTTTAGATATTCAGTTGCAGACTTATCTACAGAAAGGACAGAAAAATAAATGTTTACCTGATTTCCCTGGAATTGATCTGGTAATTTCCAGTAAAAGGGTTCTGCATTCAAGTGTTGGCGGACTGTTGCTGCATCCATTACTATGTCTGGAAATTGGGAAAATACACCTTCGCTTGTTCCAGTAAAGTTACTGAGAGAAACCACGTGTAATAGTTCCTGTTCTAGAGTCAGTGTTATCTGCAATAACAAGCCAAGAGGTTATCCGTTTTCATAAAATGAACTACATTTGGTCTCAGACTAAGAACAATTTCACATGCTTCCTGAAAACAACTAACACATCACCCATCCTTCGAAATTTGGAGCGAATTTTATTAACGCACCTTACATTTTGTATTAGTATAAAGCTGCTTCTACATTGAATGCACAATTGTGTTTCATTGTTTATATTTTTCTCCTTCTGTCTCTAGATATACGAATAAATCAGCTGAAGATAAGATTGCAGGAAAAGAAAGCAAAAAGAAACCAAACTTGGATTTCAAGAATGCATAGAGAATTCTATAGTAAAAACAATTCAAAACAATATAAAATTTCCTGCAAGTGGAATGCATATAAATAAGTGATTTACTCACTTATTTATGAGTTACTTAAGTATTTGCATTGAACTTTCAATCAACCAGAACAGCTTGCAACTAATTTTAAGAAACTTAAAAGTAGCAAAATAAACTGATTTGGAATTGGATATGTCTAAATTAATAAAATAGAAAATTCTTGATGGCAGAAAAATTCTGAACAGAACACTATGAAACATTAAGACTCTTCCAAACATTCTGGTGTCTTCCCAATCCAAGAACAGGTGTGATCAAGCGAGGAAGAAATTAGAATAGAAAGAAAATAAGACCGGTACACTTTACTAACCGGAATTCGCACATAACCTTCTACTTCTGCACAGAATTCTGTCATCCCAGAACAGAAGCAAGGGATGCATCCCAAAGGATTAATAGCATGTAGAGCAAAGGTCCCACTTTTGCATTCATTGCAGTGTAATCCAAAGACATTATCCTGAAGCAAGATGAGATCACGATCAGCATCATGGCTTGAATAACAGTATTTTTGTAGCCTTAACAATATGTCAACAATAGATATTTAGTATGTATAATTCTATAAGACACCTACAGAAGCTTGTATTTATTCCCTAGGTAACTATTAATTCTAGCCAACTCACTTCCCCATGAAGACTCTACCCCACTTTAAAGGAAACGTCAAACTTCTGTGATCATAGTTAATATATTTATGGCTCAGTTCGGGTGTATCTAAACTGGAAAAAGTTTTTTACCCTGAAATGCTGAGGCTTGAAAGATACTTAGATTGCCCATTTCTTCAATTTTATATTCCCTTAATTACTTGGCTTCAGCTGGTCTCTTAAGAGAAATAGCCTGGCGAAACTGACAAAGGTTCTGTTGGTTCTCTCTTCTCTTTCACCAGAAATGTAGCATGAGATTCTTTAGGGTAAGTTTTTCTGATATAATGGCAAAGTGATTAGAGAATTTTGTTTTTTTGCAGAAGTGCCTTTACAATGCTTCCCAATTCCTGCTGCTTCAAAATATTACCAAGTTTTCTTTCTTTCTCTCTCTCCTACAACATACAACCATGATTAAAACCATTAAGAGCCATGGTGGGGCAGTGGCTGCAGGCTATGTCTGCTGACTGCTGGCTGCCTACAGTTCGGCAGTTCGATTCTCACCAGTACAAGACTGACCCAGCCTTCCATCTTTCCGAGGTCGGTAAAATGAGGACCCAGATTGTTGGGGGCAATATACTGACTTTGTAAACTGCTTAGGGAGGTCTGTAAAGCGGTATTTAAGTCTAAGTTGCTATTACTATTATGAAAATCCTAATAGGCCAATGCTTTATCTTATTATTATGCTATACCTTGCAAACACACACACCAGTTTCCTCTTCACAGCTGCACATTCCTTGATTGCACATCTCGGCTTTACTCCCACGCGCATCACAGTCACAAGGAATACAATCAGGATAGTCCCTGTAACCCAAAGCACAGAGGGCACACCTGTCCCCTCCGTATCCTTGCTTACACTGGCACTGAGAAGTCAGCTGGTCACACTGGAGACTGAGGGAACCTAAATGACTACAATTGCAAGCCTGAAAAAAAAAAGATAGAATCCTATAATTTGAAAAAAAAACATGTTTAAAAATACTTTTTGCAGTCATTAAAAAGTCACCAATATTGTTTTCTTTTACAAGAGCATTTGTTTGTTTTGCTATAAGAAAGAGAAATATAGCTATTTCTCTAAAAATTATTATTGGAACTTATTTTAAAAGTTGTCTCAAAGTAATTTACAAATATATCTTTGTAGTAGTGATTTTAGGATGCAATAAAGTTGACTGTAATGAAATCAGGGAAAATAGTTTCTTGAGGTGTTCCATTTAGAAAAATTCCCTGGATTTTAAAATTGTGAATCTAGGTTGGAGTTTGAAAAATTCAGAAAGTTTCAATAAACATCAAAGCACTGTTGTTGCTGTACATTATCTAATAAATGATTGTAATTGTATTATGGTTTAAAATTGCTAGATATATTGCTGGCTTATACAATATTTTCAACACTGGTTTAAAATAAGCTATAATACACTGCTCAAAAAAATAAAGGGAACACTTAAACAACACAATGTAACTCCAAGTCAATCACACTTCTGTGAAATCAAACTATCCACTTAGGTAGCAACACTGATTGACAATCAATTTCACATGCTGTTGTGCAAATGGAATAGACAACAGGTGGAAAGCATAGGCAGTTAGCAAGACATCCCCAATAAAGGAGTGGTTCTGCAGGTAGTGACCACAGACCACTTCTCAGTTCCTATGCTTTCTGGCTGATGGTTGGGTCACTTTTGAATGCTGGTGGTGCTTTCACTCTAGTGGTAGCATGAGATGGAGTCTGCAACCCACACAAGTGGCTTAGGTAGTGCAGCTCATCTAGGATGGCACATCAATGCGAGCTGTGGCAAGAAGGTTTGCTGTGTCTGTCAGCGTAGCGTCCAGGGCATGGAGGCGCTACCAGGAGACAGGCCAGAACATCAGGAGACGTGGAGCAGGCCGTAGGAGGGCAACAACCCAACATCAGGACAGCTATCTGCGCCTTTGGGCAAGGAGGGACAGGAGGAGCACTGCCAGAACCCTGCAAAATGACATCCAGCAAGCCACAAATGTGCATGTGGCTGCTCAAATGGTCAGAAACAGACTCCATGAGGGTGGTATGAGGGCGTGACGTCCACAGGTGGGAGTTGTGCTTACAGCCCAACACCGTGCAGGACGTTTGACACCAAGATTGGCAAATTTGCCACTGGCATCCTGTGCTCTTCACAGATGAAAGCAGGTTCACACTGAGCACATGCGACAGATGTGACAGGGTCTGGAGACGCCGTGGAGAACATTCTGCTGCCTGCAACATCCTCCAGCATGACCGATTTGGCAGTGGGTCAGTAATGGTATGGGGTGGCATTTCTTTAGGGGGCTGCACAACCCTCCATGTGCTCGCCAGAGGTAGCCTGACTGCCATTAGGTACCGAGATGAGATCCTCAGAACCCTTGTAAGACCATATGCTGGTGTGGTTGGCCCTGGGTTCCACTGAGAGCCACATGCTAGACCTCACGTGGCTGCAGTTCCTGCAAGACGAAGGCATTGATGCTATGGACTGGCCTGCCTGTTCCCCAGAGCTGAATCCAATTGAGCACATCTGGGACATCAGGTCTCGATCCATCCACCAACTCCACGTTGCACCACAGACTGTCCAGGAGTTGGGGCATGCTTTAGCCCAGGTGTGGGAGAAGATCCCTCAGGAGACCATCTGCCACCTCATCAGGACAATGCCCGGGCATTGTAGGGAGGTCATACAGGCACGTGGAGGCCACACACACTACTGAGCCTCATTTTGTCTTATTTTAAGGACATTACATCAAAGTTGGATCAGCCTGTAGTGTTTTTTTCCACTTTAATTTAACCCAGACCTCCATGGGTTGCTAAATTTGATTTCCATTGATAACTTTTGTGTGATTTTGTTGTCAGCACATTCAACTATGTAATAAACAAAGTATTTAATGAGAATATTTCATTCATTCAGAACTAGGATGTCTTATTTTTGTGTTCCCTTTATTTTTTTGAGCAGTGTATATTACAAAAATGAAATATACTATACAATGTGAAAAAAATGAACTAGGAAATAAATTTTTCTATACAATCTTTTTTTATAGGTAACAGTGCAAAAGGTTGTGATAGCAAGATTTCTTACAGTTCAATTAACATATTAGAGAATAATTTAGAACTTCAGCAATTGAGATATTTACATTTGCATTGTCTAAAAATTGGATTAGCAAAAATAAAACTTTGTATTGATCATTTTTACTATAGTAGAAGACGGATTCTCTGGTCCACGCCTTCTGAGAAATCTTACGTTAATTTTTTTTCATCAGGCAAGAAAAGCCGTATTACACCTAATGTAGCAACATTTTGTATAGCAAATATGAACATACCCAATTGATCTACAAGAGTGATATCTTTGTATTTGCTCCAACAATCACAATTTATTAATATTTTAGATAAGATTTTATAAAACATTTTTTTCTATATCCTGAACTTAATGCACAGTAGATTGAATTTCTATTTTTATAATTCACTTATAATTTTAATGTTTTTTCTTAACCCTAAGAACTAGTTTTAGGTTTAATCTTTGTGCTACATTATTTTACTTGCACCCAAGTATTTCATGGATTGTATGGTAGATTTTATCTTGGTTTAACCTGGTTGGTCGGTCTGTCTGTCTGTCTGTCTGTCTGTCTGTCTACTTGTCTGTCTGTCTGTCTATCTATTAACTATCCATTTAGATGCATTTTAAAAAAGAAGAAACTTCTCTGAAATAACCCATGGTGGAAAAAAAACCATAATATTTATATTTTTATATAAAATAATTCATTAAATTTTATCCAACTTTTCAAAATTCTTAATTTCCCTTTTTAACATATTACTAGCACATTACCTTGCATCCCTTTTCTATATCATGACCCCAGTAATTTTCTTCACAAAGTTCACATTTTTCTCCAGTTGTATGAGGAGCACAAATGCATTGTCCCGAATCTTTATCACATGTATTGTGAGTATGAGCACAATCACAAGCTGCAATTAGGGCAGGACAGAAACAAGTAAATTGGAAGAATTATTAGTTCGTTTTTAAAAATCTAGGATTTAATCATTCTGAAAATCAATGCCTTGCAAAATCCTAACATTTGTTTTCCAATTTTTATTAAAAGAAATTTAATCATCCATTATTGTGCCTATATCAAGTAAATGTTTTTGCAAGTAAATGTGAGGTGTTTTTTATTGTCTGATCTTTTCCATCTGTATTCACCTTTAAAATGGACCAGCTTCATACAGTAATATGAAAGAAAAAGAGAGAGGCAGAGAGAGAGACAAACTCCATTTGGTGTAGTTTGATGCTGGCCTAGAAACCAGGAAATCATGAGTTCTAGTCTTGCCTTAGGCACGAAAACCCAGCTGGGTGGCTTTGGGACACTCTCTCTCTCTCTCTCTCTCAGCCCAAACCACCTCACAAAGTCATCATGGGGAAACTATGAGGAGGAAAAAATGTTAAGTACGTTCACCGCTTTGAGTTACTTGAAGGGCAGGATAAAAATAAATAAATAAATATAAAATAACTATATTGTAGGATCTAAAAACAGATTAGATAGCACAATTCTCCATGTTAAAGACAACATGAATATCTTCAAAGAGGCATTTCATATCACTTTGATACTCTTGTGTTTGTAGCTCCTAGGCAATGGGCTGTTTTCACTTTTAGAACAATTTCAGTTATTGCAAGATCTGTTTATGAGATAAAAATTACGTTTGCAACCACCATCCTGAAATGCATAAAACCCTGGAGCACAATGTCCACACTTGTCTCCAGCCACTCCTAGTGCACAACGACACTGTCCTTCTTCATTACAATCTTCTGTAGCTGAGCCAATTTTACTGCAAAGGCAGGGAAGGCAACTAGCTGTAGTACTGAGGCCATAATAACCAAACTGTAAGAAAGAAAGAAAAAAGAATTTGGATACTTTTTAAATCATCCTTTCCCCTCCCGCTTCTTCTTCTCCTTTCTAATACCACATTTAAATTGAAAGTTGCCAAGGTTGGAGACCCCTGTTATAGACTCTTGCTGTTCTCTTTGGAAGTGCATTAGAAAGGAATGTTTTTCTCTCTTATGTTTACAGCACAGAGAATTTTTTTTTTAAAAAAGCATTTGGGTACTTTTTAAAGTAATGCCCTGGGATTCATCTAATAAAAAAAAATAATGAAACATTTTAACAGTTAACTATCTACTAATATCTGTCAAAATGTAGAAATACATCAAGATCAAGTTGATTAGACAAACCAATTAAATGCTAATGTCATAAATTTAACATTTAGCGGGAAAGTACAACCTTTATTAGCATATAAACAGCTCCTAAATGTGTTAGATATTTAATATTTTGATAGTTAGAATTTGCCAGTGTTGAAAACATGAAACTACTTTCAAAGGTATATTTAAGATTGGTGAGATAAAAAGCTTGTTAATTTTCGAATTAATGCCAGATCCTCTGGCTGTCTAATTTTAGCTTTTATATTTTTAATGCATGGGTCAATTCTAAAATGTGACAAGAGGATAGGACACTATTATAATAAAGAGTTTAATTACATCAATTCAAGTATGCCTTTATGGAGATGAACAGGGCATCTGTTTCTATTTTTAATTTCCTAATTTTAAATTACTATAAAAATTAAAGTTTAATGATAAAGCGATACTTCAATTATCTGAAGCTTTATCCAACAACTTTGTTGCATTCTCACAGACAGTATAGCTATCATTTTAAATGTTTTTTTCTCAATCAATTTGATTTATAAAACTGATCTCATAATTCCTTGGAGACTGGGAAATATGTTTTTGTCACTTCCCAGCATTCCTGCCTTGCAGATGCCAGCTGTATTTGGAATAAAGAAAAGAGAGACAGATGTAAATGATGTAGGCTGATAATAGATAAGGCTCTATTCCCAAGATCTCTGGAATTAAAATTAGGCCAGTCTGTTATGATCTCTCAGTGGGCAGTATGACTTCAAGCAAAAAAGAATAAAATCCCTTTTTGGTGTATCATCTTAGTTTGATTGTGCCTTTCAGTTACTATGAATTACACCTAGATTGTTTCACCATTATACTGAAATTTAAATAATATGTACATTGTTAGACCCTGTGGACAAATAATTAGTAAAAACATAATATGTTAGTAAGGTAATTGCTGTTTTTTACCAAGCATTTATCACATCTCTTTCCGACTACATTGGCTTTGCATTGGCAGAGGCCAGTTTCATGATGACAGACGCTGGAAACCGAGCCGTTTATGTCACATTCACAAACTTAGATATAAAATGAACAAAGATAAAAGATGATTATTATTGTGACAAAATACACAATAGTAACAATTATATACTTTTTTTCCAAATAAAATGTAGAATTTAATTTCTTACTTTTCTATAGTCTGGGCATTATAATTTTAAATTTATATCTTTTGGAAAAAGAAATTAATGTTACAAAACAAGGAACTCCAACTGTAAGTGGAAAGTATTTTTACTCGAAGGAGACTTCCCTAATTTTATTAATGAGTAAACTGTATTCATGATAATCTCACAATCTTGGGGTGGGCAGAGCTCAAATGCAGAAAAAAAAAACATTGTTGATTGGTAATTGTTGATAAGATATTGAGAGTAAATACTGTACTGAAAACCTCACATTTTTAAAGTAGAAGTACGTATCCTTCACTCTAATCTTAAGATCAACTGTTGTAAACAATTTCCTTGTTGTAAAACAAAATGATTTGACAAAGTCTATGAAAAGTTTATGCAGAACATCAGTTCGAAACAAGATATGATACCCCCAATGAAAGTGTTTAGTGTCAGATTCTGCAATTACCCAATTAAATCATGAGTCTTGAGCCAAACTTCCAAAACTTCAAAAGGATTTATTGGGAGTTAACATGTCCGGCACTGCCTGGGTGTAGCTGACTTGACACACATAATTCATTGTCACCCTTGACCCTGGTATTCCCCCACCCCCTGGGTGTATCATAATTCATATTCTCCAATGAGGCACATCCATAGCCAAGAGTCATCAATCATGTTCTCCAGTTAGAATTTTGCCGTGGCAGAAATTAGTTACTATCTTTGAAAACTATTTATGGAATGCACTTTTGATTTCCAAGCTGCCACACTGCTCTTCCCCCCCCCCCCCCCCGCACCTTTCTGTTGGCAACTCTAAAAAGACCATAGAAATATTTTATGAGTTGACATTTAGTATCAGGGGACCAATCTGGCTGTATTCAACTAAAAATACTTTATATTTACTTGATCATGAGGAACTCACCATAACAATGTTTGTTGGTCACTGCATCCCCATAATAGCCATCAGCACACCTTTCACAGTGATGTCCCACAGTATTTCCAATGCATTTCAAACATTCCCCTGTAACTGAATGACAATGGCCATCTTCCAATGGGTTTACATTTCCATTGCAATCACAAGGAATACATGGTTTTCCTGCCACTAAAGGATTGCCATAATATCCATTTGCACATCTGCACATAAAATAGGACAATTGCATCAGAGTAGAAATTTGTTGGTTTGTTTATTATGCCACTCATCTTACTGATACAGTGAGTCTGTTTAGATGGTTAAGACTACAATCATATTTCCTATTTATTTTCATAATTTGGATCTATTTGTGCAAAAAGAAAAATCACTGCAGATACCATGCTTAAGAAAGTTATAAAAACTGCAAAAGATGGATCAATACAGTAACATTGGCTCTTCCAGGGAAGAAATGGCAAACTGCAGACAATTCTGCTAAAGTCCACAACTGCAGCAGAATAAAGAGATGATAATAGACCAACTTGTCATAATTCCTTTCCATATCTGGAATGGATTTGAGATCACCCACAGGTGATCCATACGGTTGTTCCTGATGATGAGACCACAAGATAGTTGTCTCTGGTGGATCAGGGTGATGAGGGAATATCAATCTTTTTGCTCAAATCATGGTTGGAACTTTCAAAGGGACACCGGGTTTCCATGTTTCTTTTTCTAATCACTTTCAGAAATTGCTTCTTAACTGTTTTTCAGTTATTAGTAATCTTTGGATCAATAATCAAGTTTGATAGCACCAGGTGGAGTTCCTTCAATCCTTAGTGAAAGAGGTTTTAAACACAAATTTAAGGTCTTAAAAATATTTTGGAATTAACAGCAAAAGGGGATTAGAATTTAAATTTTAGAAACTTACAAGTGAACTAATAGCCATCTTCAATAAAAACTTGGAATTAATTATACGAATCCTTCCCATGGGAAAATGCTGCTGTTTTGAATTTCTTTTTAAAAAAACCAGACTTTGAAGATTGGACATTAGAGGAACCAGAAGGAACTATAGATTACAATTAAAAGAGAAGAACACTTAAATTTGATTTACTAATATAGAATGGAGCAAAATATTTTAATATTTAACACAGTGAAGGAAATTTTTGAATAATGCAACCAGAAGTTAATTTTAAGAGTATCTGTCTCTATAGACAGACTCTATTAAAAGACAAGACTGAAACTGATTGAAAATTTAAAAATGACAGGCTATAAGAATGATATGTAAAAGATGCTATACTGCAGATACCAATGAAACGAGCTGATGTCTTAATAATTAAAAGGGATATATAAATAACAAAGCAACAGAGTGACCTGGATAACTTTACTATTTAATTGGATTTACAAACGGAAGCTTTGAAGAATTTTGGGAGAAAGAACAAAGAAAAAAATTGGAAGAAATCAAATTCTAGGACACCCTTTGAAGGAACTAAAGATCAAAATTGTTGAAAGTAAAAAGGAAAGAAATAAAGCTGATTTATTTTATCAAGGTGAAAATAGGTATGTTGTTATTTCTGATTTTAATGCAGAACTGAACAGAAGTTATTGAGGATTTGTTATGAATAAAGGAAGACATACATAATCTTCTGTTACATAAGTTACTAAATTATTTATATATGTGATGAAGGAGGAAATCATTTCTTTATGTATTTCTTTACTATATTCTTATGTTTTCCTTCCTTCCTTATGTTTTCCTGCACTTTCTATTTTTTCTTTTTATTCATTTCTCTTTTTTATTTTACATTTAAACAGCTACGGATATGTTTCCAGCAAGGACTGGTCAAGTTCAGGACAACTGTCTTTTATTTTCCTGCAACCCTTTTAACAATTCTTCTACTTTGAAGAAAATTACTTTGTCACATTAATCAGCCATTCATTTCAAACAAAAGAACCTTACTGCCAACAATACCTATGTCATAGATGTTAAAGCAAAACATCATATTTTGATAGCTGGATATGCTAGTTAATGCTGAGACTATTTAGCAATTGTATTGAAAACTTTAGATATATTTGAAAGAGTTAGTTCGGGATCAAATTTGCAATACATTTTGGATATAAAATAATTCAACTTCTTGGTCATTTGCTTTTGATGTAATATGAGACAATCGGCCATATCAGATAGTTGGGCTTATTGGATCTTGAAGGAATAAACCATATTGTACACATTCAAAATACGTTTACAGGTAGCTCTCAACTTACAACCACAATCGAGTCCAGAATTTATTTTGCTAAGTGAGAGATTTGTTAAGTGAAATTTTACGACTTTTCTGGCCATATTTGTAAACTGAATCACTGCAGTTGTTAAATTAGTAACACGATTGTTCAGTAAACCTGGCTTCCTCATTGACTTTGCTTGTCAGAAGTTAAAAAAATAATCACATGACCCCAGGATATTACAAACATCATAAATATGAGTTGCCTCTATGTTTAATTACATTTGACTAACAACCATTTCTGCTACTCCATACCTTTCACATCTGACTCCTGCATATCCTGGAGCACATTTATCACAGACAACTTCATCTCTGTTATCCAAATGACAAGTAGGACTGAAACTAAAAATAAATAACTTAAGAATTATGAGAGAGATTATACAAAGTTAATGCATCAAATACATGCACAATTCATGACTGCACAATGTAGTAATTAGTGAACACAGGAAAATATAATCAGTGTGTAATCCTGCATGTGCCTATTTAAAATCAAGCCCCGCTCATTATTGTTTCAAATTGTATTACACCTGTGTAAGTATATTGACTATTACATTCTTAGCTACATGCATGCGGATTTTCATAAACAACTTTACAGTATCTGAAAGATTCACAGTACTTAGGAGAAAAAATGTTTAAATCCCTTAAAAGACAAACGTCTCCAGAATGTCTGAAACAATTTACTGGACTGCTACCAATCACTTGGCAAGACTCAGCTTAAATTACTCTTATTTCATATAAATAGCAAAATTCTATCAGATATTTTTTTAATGCGAGCAGCATACAACACTACTTTTCAAGACAGGCTACATTTTAACTTTTAAAAAACTGAGAAAAACAAAACTTCCTCATTTGAGCCAACAAGAGTGACCATTTGAGAAGAATGAAATGAAATTTTTGACTTTTCCCCCTTCCCATTCTGATTCTCCTTCCTCCACTCCCTTGTCCCTTAGTGGCCTCGCCTATTCTGAAATTGCTGGAGTTTTTATATATCATTTCCAATAAGCAGTTTACTTGTTAGTAGCACTTCTCAGTGGACAGGCACATGGTTGGCAATCCTCTGTGGTTCCCCTCGAAGGCATTCCGTAGAATCCTGGCAAACACTGCTCACAAGATTGCCCTGTGGTATTATGCTCACATGCCTATAAACAAACAAGAAGCCTTTTGATACTTAATTTGGATGGAATTTTATTCCCAGAGGGAGCTCAGTATGAAAAAGCATGCAGATTTAGTATTCAAAGAACAAACACAAAGAAACAGGGATGCCAGGGGCAATAAGCTTTTGTAAACTCACAGCAACAACTTAAGCATGCGCCCTTTACCAGAACTGATACGCACATTTGATTTCATAAATTAGCTTCATTACTTTGATAGGGAATAAAAGAAAATTAAGTGTATTTTAATTTGGCAATCATACAATTCATTCAGATATTTTTATTTCCATCCTTAAAGAAATAATGTTTATTTCTTAAGAAAATATTATCTGGAAATAATGTTCACAATATTTTTTTTAAAATAATAACTTAATTACCAGTTAGGAGCCACCCAGAATTACTTTGATGCCATACAAATAAAATAATAAAGTAAAATGCTCCTGTATTTTTCCATCCAAATCTATAGGAATTTGGCCATTGACCTGAATGGAAAAAAGCTGTAGCTTGCATAGATTTTCTTATAAAATATGTTTTACATTAGTTATAACTAAAGACAGACTTCGAAGGTACTTTAATGTGCACAAAAAATAGGCTTTAAAGCAGGGGTGTCAAACTCAATTTCATTGAGGGCTGCATCAGGGTTGTGTTTAACCTCGGGATGTGTGTGTGTGTGTGTGTGTGGTGGGGTGTGGACAAATGGGCGTGGCCATCTTGATGTCACTCTTGTCAGGGGTGTGCCTCTCCCACATACGGACTTTCTGAATTCCGTTATTGCTTGCAGAGAGATGTAGGAGACCGTCCCAGCCAAAAACAGAGATTGGGTGCCCGTTTTCACTGGCAGAGGGACCGTGTGCCTGTCCTTTGCTGTTTCCAGCAGGCCAGATTTAAGCACCTTGTGGGCCAGATCCAGCCCGCAGGCCTTGAGTTTGACACCCCTGCTTTAAAGGTAGCAGAAATAGTTAGGAAAATGTGTATCCCTCCCTGTTTAATGCCTGTTTAAAAGTTCAACATTTTACAAACCAGGAATGGTTTGATCTTATAAGCAGGACACAAACTTACAATACAAACACCATGACTATCACATTCCGTTGCATGACCATTGCATTCACACGGCAGGCAAATCCCTCCAAAAAGTATTGCATCCACTCGATAGTACCCAGGAACACAGGACTAAAAATAGGATTAAAAAAAGAAATTACAGCAAGCATGTGTTAATCATCATAAATCTAACCTTACGGTTCAGTATAACAATATTTTGAAAACCCATTAAACCAAATCAAACTATGTTACCTATAAATAAACTTTACAATTTTAGATCTATAGTGCTTTTTCAGAAAATTTAACAAAAGCTAATTGCACGTCTGACAACAATTTCACGTCTGACAACAATTTCAAAAGTGAGCTAAACTAGTGAATTCTTTCTTATAGGATATAACAGAAAATATTTTCTAAATATATTAATATTCTTATGAGTTTTATTAATTAAATATATTAATATTCTTATGAGTTTTATTAATAAATAACAAATTAATAATAGTTTTCACAAGAGAAAGAATAACAATGACATGATTTTAATTTTAGATCTAGCTACAGGGAAAATGAACTCTCACCGGGTTCCTTAAAATGTAAGAGAAAGGTTATGTTATTCACAAAATGGAAAATATGTGAAGTTGTTTTAGACAGATAGAATAGGAAATGGTGTTTTGGCATTTCAATTTTCAAAATGGCAGGTCAAAAGGCAATTTGTATGTAAATTTAACTGCTATAAATTTCTAATAAGCTTTTATAGACTAGGGATGTGACACAAAACCAAGTTTGAAGGGGAAAAGATGACTGGGTATGCAAATTGGTGCTTTAAAAGCTGCACTGCCTTAATATGCATGCTAAGTGGCTATCTTAGAGTCAGTTATTAGAATTATCTTTAAAGCCAGTTTGGAACAGTAGTTAAGGTGCTACCCTGGAAACCAGGAGACTGTGAGTTCTAATTCCAATTTAGGCATGAAAGCTGACTGGCTGACTTTGGCCATTTCTTCTCAGCCAACCCACCTCACAGGATTATCGTTTTGGGGAAAATAGGAGGAAATAGTATTGCTGCCTTGAGTCATATATAAAAATAATAAAGGAGGGAAATCAATTAATCTTTGGTAGTCTTATTCCCTGAGAAGTACATCTTTATTGTAGATGCCCCACAATTTTGGAATTTCCTAAAAGAAGTAATGACTGTGCATATTGTAACATTTTGGCAATGCTGGCAAGTAACATTTTATTCTCTAATCTATTTAATTTTGATCATATTTATTAAATATGGCCTTTCAAACAAATTTCTTGGGATTTTATTTTGTTATTGTTGTTTTTAGCTGGTGGTCATTGACTGTGCTTGATGATTTTTACTTCTTACTACGAGGTTACATGCTGATATTTTTCGATTGTATTTCTATATATGGCTTCATTGGTAAGTAAATTGATCACGTGATCCCTTTGGAAAACCCATTTTTTAAAATGAGGCAATACCATCACATAACAAATAAATAAATAAATAAATAAAATATTGAAATTACTTCACAAGATATTCCAGAATAACCCTGTGGACATTCACAATATTCTACATGTACAGCTGAAGACAGATCTATAAGATTAGCATTTGCTGTATCCAAAGTCACAGAGTCCAACCTGTAATAACATTAAAATGGGAAATAAATGATGTAAACAATGTATTGGGGTTTTTTTCACTGTGTAAAATAATCCATATGCATAAAATACAAAAATGCAGAGATAAAACTTTGCATTGTTTCTTGTTCTGAATGCATAATTCCACATAAAATACATTTCACAATCTATTATACATTTCAAATTATTTGTCTGTTATTCTTTTACATTTCCTATCACTTAATCCTATTTAACTTTAAAAAATGGGAATCTGATATTATCCCATGGAAAATTAGCACTTTGTCCAAACTTTTGAATATTTTAATAAAAGAACACATTAAATGCTTTTGAGATTCTTTTGTGATTCTTTTGGTATGGCTGAAATATATATATATTAAGCAGATCTTTGTATTACCTATATACAGATTTTTCTGCAGTGTTGTAACTGGCCCTAAGTAGAATACGGGAAACATTAACTAAAACTGTCATCAGTGTGTCTCGATCTATTGACTTCTTTGTATTAAAATCAACAAAGTTTTCAGATATAAGATGCACTGTACTGGAATATTCCTCATATGGTTGCAAAGACAGCCCTTCAGATCTTGTAGAAAGAATATATCCATTGCCCTGAAATGACAGGTATTGTTATTTTATACATTTCTAAAGTATAATTGGAAATTGTTTAAAACTACACTTAATGGAAACCATACAAGGTTCCCAGGATTCCTCTTTTCCCCAAAACCCACACTATCTTTTCCAAACTTTACATTTCTTTTAAGAGTATGTCATATGTTTTGAATCTGAATTGTTCTTAATGGAAAACATCAGTTTCAAATGTCATATATCTTTATCTATATGTCAATTATATTGGAAGTACATCAGGATTTTAAAGAAAAAAAGTATGTTTCAAATGCAAAACCTTCCAGTTTCTAAACTCTGTTCAAATGGGGTGTTTGGGATTTAAAATAAAGTATTCTGAACAATCCAAATTCAAAACATTTTGCATACCATCCATTAAGAAATGCCTAGATCATGAATTTAAACACATTTTCATGGAAATAAACCCACTTAGCCATAAAACCCACTTAACATCTTTACTTTTCCATCTAAACCAGGCTTGTCCAACCTGCGGCCCAGGTCACCTCGTAATGCGGCCCAGTGCCCACCCCAACCTTCATGCCAGAGCCAGCGAGGAGGAGGAGGAGAGGCAGGCGCGGGGCGGGGCGAGGCGAGTGCCAGGCCAAGCAGCAAGAGAAAAGGCGGGCGCCGTCAGAGCGCCACCTCCTGCTGTTGCCCCCGCCGCCACCACCGCCGCTTCTGCCCCGCCGCCGCTGCCGCTGCTGCCCCCGCCGCCGCTTCTGCCCCCACCGCCGCCACCGCTTCTGCCCCCGCCGCCGCCGCTTCTGCCCCCGCTGCCGCTTCTGTCCCCACCGCCGCTGCCCCCGCTGCCGCTTCTGCCCCCGCCGCCGTCGCTTCTGGCCCCGCCGCCGCCACTTCTGGCCCCGCCACCGCTGCTTCTGCCCCCGCCGCCACCTCCCCCGCCGCCGCTTCTGCCCCTGCCACTGCTGCTGCCCCCGCCGCCACCCCCGCCGCCGCTTCTTCCCCCACCACCGCTGCTGCTGCTGCCCCCCCTGCCCCCGCGGCGGGGGCAGTAGCGGTGGCGGAGGAAGAAGCGGCGGCGGGGGTGGCGGTGGGGCAGCAGCGGTGGCAGGGGAAGAAGCAGTGGCGGGGGAAGAAGCGATGGCGGGGGTGGCGGCGGGGGCAGCAGCGGTGGCAGGGGCAGCAGCGGTGGTGGGGAAGAAGCAGCAGCGGCGGGGGCAGAAGTGGCGGCGGGGGCAGAAGCAGCAGCGGTGGCGGGGGAAGAAGCGGCGGCGGCGGGGGCAGAAGCCACGGCGGGGGCAGAAGCAGCAGCAGTGGCGGGGGAAGGCTTCTGCCCTCACTGCTGCTGCTGCTTCTGCCTTCCAGTCCTGCCTCATCCAGCCGGGCCATTTGCAGGAGGAGAGGTAGGCACGAGGCGGGTGAGCTTTCTCCCCGCCCCCCCCAAAAAAATTTGGCCGGAAAATAAACCATGATAAAAAAACTGTGATAAAAAAACCATGATAAAAAATAAATAATTTTTAATAAATAATTAATAATAAATAATAAAAACATCTCACTAACTTCATTTCCAAATAAATTTAATATGTTAACTATGTTTTCTATGGTTTTTTTGGATGATCAGGTATTGTTACTGTTATTTTATTTTATGTGCGGCCCAAACCAAATTTTCATCTTCTAATGTGGCCCAGGGAAGGTGAAAGGTTGGACACCCCTGATCTAAACCAATTCTCAGTACAACTGGAAGACACCATGAGGGAGAAGACAGCTCTTGGCTTTGAATCAGATGCACTGACAGTGTACACAAATATCACCACATTTTTTTTTTAACTTTAAAGAAAAATTTAAAAGCCAAAAGTCTGTATGTTGGAGGAGATTTCCAAGTTCATTGTTGCAAGGGTATCTTTTCTCAACTCTCTACTAAAGGACCATCTGCAGAAATTCAGAAGACCCTCTAGGAAGCACTGCCAAAGGAACAAGAACTACTACCAGAAGAAGGAACTACAGGTACTTCTCGACTTACAACAGTTCATTTAGTGACCATTTAAAGTTACAACAGCACCAAAAAAGTGACTTATGACCATTTTTCACACTTACGACCTTTGTAGCAGCCTCCCGTGATCATGTGATCAAAATTTAGCCCCTTGGCAACTGGTCCATATTTATGACCATTGCTGTTCCCAAAGTCATGTGTTCATTTTTTGTGACCTTCTGACAAGCAAAGTCAATTGGGAAACTTAACAATCAAGTTACGGTGCTTCACTTAACGATTTGAGGTTGAGGACCACCTGTACTAAGTCTGGAATTTCCTCCCTCAAAAGCATTCAGAATATTTTGTATCCCTGCCCATTTAATACAATTACCTGGATAATAACATCGACACTAGATACCAAGTCACTATCTGAACTGTCCATGGGAATATCGTAAGACACAGTATACTTTAAATAGCCACCAAAGGCAGTGAGCTGAAAGCACAAAAGGCAAGAAATAAAAAATGTTATTTTTTAATCTTATTTTTGGCAATATGAAGATGAAATATAAATATTGCATCAAAAATAGATTTCACCTTTTTAAGATTTCTTATTAAATTATCTGTTAAATGCTAGATTAGACACAAAACAAATCCTAAGAAAAATCTTCTTTTGTATATTTGCCATCACATTCTAACTTCTATGTCTCACTTGACATTTTACATTTACTGATTTTTTTTAATTCCGAGCCTCTTTTTAGTTTCACTATCTTTCTATTACATACAATCGTAAATTTTCAAAAACCAATTCTTAGTTTTTAGAACAACTGAGGTGCCTAAATATAATTATTGTTTAACGTTCATATTGTATCTTGCAACAGTTCTCTGAATATTTCTTAAATCAAATCTTTCCTGTACAATAAGTAAATCAGAAATATAGACATGGGAAAACAGCTACTATATTTAAATGCACGATACTTTTTGCTCACAATATTTGCATCTTAATGCCAACACCATTTTTTTGAGCAAGAGGCAGAGATGACATATATACCAGATTTAACTTTAATGATCCTAATATGGTAGGATTCCTAGGAAAAGATGTCCTATGCTTTTTGAACATTACATTATATATATAATAAAGTGAATATGCAATGCAGAAAACTTTATACATACACAGAACACTGAAAAAAGCACATTTCCTCCAGAGTACTTACTTTATTTCCAAGGTATGATTTAGGTGCAGACCAGTAATAAGGAGGTTTTAGTACTTTTGCAACCTCAGTGTCGTTAATACTTATTTGATGAGATTTATCAAAGTGATCTTCTTGAGGTTGTATAGTTTTTGAAGAATATAGAGTTGTCACCTCCCACCCAATCATAGAAGACACCTTAATAAAGCAGGAAACATGATCAAGCATTCAAGTAATCAAGAAACAGAAAGTGTGTTGTTTGTGTGTGTTTTGCTTTAGCAAAGTTCTATTTTTATTTGGCTCACAATATGATACTGTGTTATGGCAGAATAATCCAAGCAAAACAGAAATCACGGGATAAAGTTTTTCGGTCTCTGTGCGTCCCATTTTCTGTCCGTTCCGATCATTGGTAGGATTCAAATGTTTTTATTACCAGTTCTGTGGGCGTGGCTTGGTGGGCGTGGAAGGAGAAAGATAATGTAAAATCTCCAGTCAGAGGTGGTATTTGCTGGTTCTCTGAACTACTCAACATTTCCATTACTGGTTCTGCAGAACTGATCAGAACCTGCTGAGTACCATCTCTGGTTCCAAACCCCACTGCCCGCGTTGAGGCTGAAAATGAGGTGTGCAGAGGCTGAAAACGGGATGTGGAGGCCAAAACTGGGACACACAGAGGCGGTAATAGGCTATGGCAATCCCTGCAGCCTGAAACAGCTGATTATCAGAAGGTCGATCCAACCAACAATCAGCTGCTTATGCTAATCAGGCTGTGCTGAAGCTGACCAGGCTGTTTGCTGTAAGGAGGCAAATTGCTGGGAGGCAGAGACAGATTTTTTCCCCTTTGTTTTCCTCCCCAAAAGCTAGATGCATCTTATAGTACGGAATGTCTTATACTCCGAAAAATATGGTACTTATACTTAAAATTCAAGCATCTCTTTTACTTTAATTTTTAGTGCTTGGTTTTCAATAGGGAAATTGTATGCAAACTTGTAACTGAACAGTACTTTCAAATATTATAATATATCTCTAGATAATTTGCTGCTTTCTATCATTCAAACACATATAAAGTAGAAGTACGAATTATGTTTTGCTCACTTGGGATCCTTTATATTTATCATTCCATTTCTTAGATATTCTTTGGCTTTTTAGTTTAAACCTAAATTGCAGCCTTTTACACCTAAGTTTTTATTGAGTGAAATAATTAACAGACTAAAACCATTTATGGAAATCAGACTGAAATGGAATGCCTGTCAGGCAAAGATAACACAGGGAATGTTTATGCTTGAAGAAAACAAATGAGATACTAATTGTGGAATATTAGTCATATTATACCTTAGTAGTGGACCATGGAAGACTTTCACACACATCAGAAACACCAAAACAGAAGCATTCAGTGCAACCCTGTGGGTTTCTTTCTTGAAGATTATAGAATCCAGATTTGCAACGGTCACAATTTTCTCCTTCTACGTTTTCCTATGAACATAATCAGAACCAACATACAATAAAACATAGTAGCATTTTTACCTTAACATTTTCTAGAACTTTTCTTCTGAACTAAAGTATTGAATAGAAAATTTTCACCCTTTATATGTTATGTGTCAGTAAGTACTTGTATTTTATACTGAGAATGTCCACATGACAAGCAAAGATACCAATTATCATACTGACTATGCATACTGTGACTACAGGCTCCACATAACTGATGAATGTCAGGTTCAAAAAGGTCAATCTATTTCATGGTCACAAAAAAAGGTCAACTTTCGCCATTATCATTTTTTGGTTTAAATTCCATTCAATCAGGTTTTTTTTATTTTGGCACTTACAAGCTCAATATTAAGCCTAATGGCAGGGAAATGAAATTTCTTGAAGCTTATAATAAAATCATATTAGAACATCAAAGTCATTATAGATAGTAGATATAAATAATATGTGAGTAAATGTGAGTGGTTAAAAAAACCAACTAATGTATTCCCAAGCACCCCGCTTCCCCACCAATGTTATCTTAATTTGGAATTGCTCTTTCCAAGCCAAAATTTAATCACAAAATCTGATACATAATTTTGCCAGTGTTAAAATGTATGATATACCTGTATCATGTATCTTAGTTTAAATCCCCATCTGGTAGATTTTGGCTTAACTCCAATTAATTGTTAGAATTAGATGTAGGATTGCTATTAAGAAAGAAATTTCTCAAAATAAATAAATGGACAAATTCCACTTTAAAGTGTATTATTAATAAAATTTTAGTACAGTGTTACCTCAGTGCTCATCATTAATTAGTTCCAGGAGGCACATAAGTACAAAAATGCTGAGTACCAAACACATTTTTCCCATAAGGAATAAGGTAGTGAGTCACAAGATAGCCGACACCCACAAGTTCAAGCTTGTACATAAAAGTACCAAACAAATGATGAGTATAAGGACAAAATTTTCACATAAAATGCATTGAGTACCAAATTTGCTGAGTTTCAAAGCAGTTGAGTACTAAGGTACCACTGTATAGTAAATCAAACTAAAAATCAGAGCTATACTTACTTTGCAAAGGCAAGGTTCACTACATGGATCATCATTGATGCTGCCAACGAGGCTACAATTACAGCGTATGCAATTTGGGTAACCTTTGTAGCCAAAAGCACAATGGTCACATTTTTTTTCAGCATACCCTTCCTTGCAATGACATTGACCAGGCTGAATATCTTGAAAAAGTAAAAGAAATACAAGAAAGTTGCTTATTCTTCCTTTATACAGGTACAGCAGTAATAAGATCCAAAGAAACTGAATTGAATTTTATGTTTCGTTGTTTCTTATAGATCCAATACCTGATTTTGTAAATATTGCCTAGACCGTTACTCTTACCTTTTGCGGGGTCGGCATGATTATTATCCTTAACACAGTCAAAACCAAAGGACCCAAATAAATCACATTCACATGGACGGCAAGGATTGTTGTCATAAGGAGACACCTGGAATAAGTACAATTTTTTTAAATTTTTATTAACTGTTTGATGCTACTGAAAATGAATTTTTGTTCCTTTTTAGGAGTATATATGAAGATATGCATCTCAACTGGCAAGGATGATTAGTTATTTCCATGGGATGAGTGCAAGGCAAAAACTAGATAAATGTAAGCATAAATGAGGTAATGTTGAAACCAGCCATTGTGGAACCGGGAAACTCTCTGTATGTTACAGAAATGAACAGAGATTTATTTCTAAAATCATGAGCATCTGTACAACCCTGGCCCTATGGCTTGAGTATGACTCTGTGGGGAAAAGACACCATACAGAGAAACGGGCACAGATGAGGCTATAATAAAGCCAAAGGCTTCGTGGGATTGTTTCTTAAATTGAGAAGGGTACAAAGTCCCATAAGCCAGAAATTCCCTTCTTTTGATCTAATATGTATTTGTAAATGAAGTCTTGACAAATGTTGAGTTTATATATACAGGTAACAGGTATAATAACACAAAATATACATAAGATACTATTTTCACAAATTGTTTGTACATGGCTGGACAGACTTCTTAGTCTTTTCTCAAAGACCGAATCCTTTCACTTTTCCTTTCATTATGAATTCACATGGTTTTAACCACATATTAAATGAACAGTAAAGCTCAAAAAAATTAGATGTCAAGTTTTAGCATTGTTTACAAGTAATGATAAACAATATTTCAGAATCCTCTTACTTTTTGTGGTCTGTAGTAGCCATTACTACACACATCACAGTTTATTCCAGTGGTGTGTTGTGTACAATTTATGCATACTCCACCTCCTCTGAATTGACCAAATATGTTTATACTTTTTTTTTCATCTGCTACTCTCTGGTCATAATAACAATCTTCTGTTTTGTTGTGACAGTTGCATCCTAAAAAAAAAAACCAATACTCTTTTAGTGTGTTTGTGTGTGTGTGTGTGTGTGTGTGTGTGTGTAAATAAGTGAATCAACCAGATAAACAAACTGAACACATTATATTCTACATGCAAAATTAACCTTTTACATAACACTCAATATTAAACATAGATGGAAGACTTTAACCTTCTATTAAAATACATAATAATTAATACCATGTAGAGTTGCCTTATCAGGGAGATGGACATGATAAATGAATGAATGAATGAATGAATAAATAAATAAATAAAATTTTGGTCTCCCACCTGTCACTAATCAAAATAGCTTTATTTGTAAACCTTATAGTAAAAAAGAGTATTATGCTACTAGTGTTTATTTAGTATTCCCAATTTTATTCTAATAAGATTATTGATGAATTCACATCTAATTTTCTATAATACATTTATACATAACATGATATGTTCAGTTTAATAAATCCATTCTATTCCTCAAAACATATAGATATTGGATTATATATTTTATTGAAAGATTAGAATGAAAATTAAAATTACAAATATCTAAATTCTACATGAAATAAGGTGACAGACTGATAAGACTGATAAGAAAAAATGAAAAATTCATTGGTTTTACAAGCTTGGTTTAAATTTTACTACTTATAAATTTTCAGTGTTAGAAATATTTATGCATCATTAAAGAGAATTCCCCATGTCAAACTCATGGTTTTAGTGATGGATGGATTACTTATCTAATCAGTAAAGTGGTAAACTTTTAAGAGATCTGTCATTTAGTACCACATACTTTCACATTTGTTGCCAGCAGAAATAGTTCCAGGTCTCCATGGTGCCTGATGGTAGCCAGGACAACATTCATTACAATTTTCACCACAAGTATTGTGTTCACACTGGCATTGTAGTTTCTACATGAAAATAAATTATAATATGATTCTATTACTAATTACCTTAAAACAAAATTATTTATCCCACATTTAAGAAATACCTGAAATATCCTCTAAGTGTTTAGGGCTGGATAGATTCTTGTGTATATTGTAAGTTTGTACAAAACCTTGGTGTAAAATCTCATCTGTAAGAGTTGTAAGAATCCAATGAAAAAGCAACAATAGCAACTGATAAATACAAGTAGTTCAATAGTATGAACAAAAGAAAAACAAAAGAGAAAGGAAAGGGAAAAGCTTTTAAAATCCAGATACAACAAGCAAAGCTGCTTGTTGATGACGTGGACAGATACCGCTAGGTGCAAATGTGGACATTTATTTAAAAATAGATGTGAGAAACTGAATGACTTAATAAAGAATTGGAGAAAGTTACATCTGTTTCTACCCAACATAGGCTGTTCTGAAAAAAGTGGAGCAAAGGTTGATCTGGTTAGTATTTAAAAGGCAAACTACATGGAAACCCAGGGCTTGAAAGCTGGGGGGTGGGGGTGGGGGGGAAGTGCAGCAGAAGCTGATAGGTCAATGTAGTAATTTGAAAAATTCTTTACTGCTGCTTCTGTCCTTTGCTTATCTGGTTCATTAGAGCTGAAAACAAAGTTCCAGGTGATATCTGATTTGTACCATTGGTTTTCCATATAACCAAAACATTCCATAACTAAAACCAAAACATTTCAATATTTCATAGGATCTAAAATGATATGTCTCTGAGTGACCTCATGATTGGCTTCTCTTTGTGACTTTATATATTTCATTAAACACTACTTCTGTGTAGCCTATTTTGATCTTAACTGTCCATTTCCTGAACACTGTCCTATTTTCCTTCTACTTATAAAATAATAAAAACATTTATTTTCCAGCAATAAATAAAAACCCGTTAAGTTTCATTGTCTTAAAATCCAACTCCCAGTAAAAAAAATGTCACTCTTATTTTACTCCATCTCATGATTCTTCATCACCTATCTGATATTCTGGATAAAACATATTAACATGTGGCGCATGATTGCAGGTAAGTAATTTCAGCATTTTTTTATAAAAATGAACAAATTACCAGAGAGGTAAATTTGCTAGAAGGCAAAAAAGCTAACAATACATCAAAGCATAATATAGGGATAAACTGTAGTATATATTTCATTTACAAAATAATTTATCAGATACTTCAAGCACTTAGCTATGAAAATAATTGCAAAAAAATGTGAAGAGACTAAAAAAATCTAAGATGTTTTAATGATTCGGGACTTTAACAAGTTTTTACAAGGCAGTGTGCTTATGCAATGCTTAGGCATTGTTAACACTTGTCAGGTCTGCACAGCTGTTTGTTTGCAAGCAGATGTTATCTATATATGATTGTGTAACTGTGTATACAAAATAGTTTTATTTGGTAAGGAAGATGTCCAGAAAAGGAAACATAATGCATTTGAACTAAGTCTATACGTTCTTATGTAGCATATTTTCTTAATTCCTATGCAATGTTAAAGCAATCCACTCGATGTCTGTTCCTATTCCTATAAGCTTTTTTGGATTTGTATATATTTGTTCACTGATTTAAAAGGCCCTTTAATTCATGTAAAGTTAATATGATATAAGACAAAGAAAAGTGTTAGAAATGCTATCATTTCAATAAACAGCAGACAATCATATTATCTTTCTAAATAATCTTGCTTTTCAAAAAGGCCAAAATGCACATTTGTCTGTAGGAACAAGTAAAAAAAAAACGTACCTCTGTGTGTTTATCCAAAGGACAACTTCGAGCATGCCCATAACAAATGCACATGCCTCCAATAGAGATGTCTTTTATTGAATAGTAATACTAAATAAAGCAAAGTTTGAGTCATTAAGTTTAATGCATTTAACAGAAACACAATAAGCCAATATTCATTAGAAAATAATGATGCATAAATATTTAATTATAATTTTTTAAAAATCCAGTTTCTAAATTGCAATTGACTTCAGTTAGAATTTACACATAAGGTTTACATGTGAAAGTCTTCATACACACACACACACAAATTACACTGATCAGTCAGGGCATATTCTTATGTCATATTCTTACGCTAAATCTAAAAATCCCTACAAATAACATAAAACTGTTCAAGGACATACATATACAATAGAACACACTATATTGTATGCACTCAGATTTACATGTGTTCAAAATTAAAACTACTTTAATATACAGAAATATTTTTAATAAGATTGGTTTTAAAGAAAGTTTAAAAAGTAACTATATGTCTTCATTCTCACAGAAATGAAACAAGAATAGTTTTAGCAGGGTTATGGCACCTGTTAGGTTAACCTAATTGTAAAATAGTATTAGACCAGAGGTGTCAAACTCGCGTCGTCACAGCGGCATCATGTGATGTACCAGAACTTTTTTCCCCTTCACTAAACCGGGCAGGAGCATAGCCAGTACATGACACATCTGGCCCTCAGGCTGTGAGTTTGACACCCCTGTATTAGACCCTTCAGATAATGCTACTTCACCACTGTTGTTGCTGTTCTAAAACAAAGCACTGTTCACAATATATCATGACATCAAGATACTACCTGTATTTTATATAAAAGAACATTCAGTGCATAAATTGAGTATTTTTGCAGAACAAGGTTTATGAGCTAATTGTCAGCATTTTTAGCATGGTATCATGCTCCTTGCCTAACAAGTTGGCTTCAGCAATCAGTTCTGTATTTGAAGAGCAATTCTTGTTTACTAATATTTAATTAACTAGGTAATAAACAAATTGACCCCCAAAGAGCTCTAAATCCATACTTAAACCCCTTGCCATAGTTACCAAACAGATAGTTGACTAATATGGAAGATAGCCCATGTGTCATCGCATCACCATATATGCTATTTTAGCATATTAGTGTATCACAGTACTCCTAATTTCCAGGAATATTATTTGAAAAAGCACCCCATAAGACAATGATAAGCAAGTGTCTTAATTCTTCCATGCTGAAAAATAAACAAGTATTCTGGATTTTAGCCTATTTTAGGATAAATTCCATCAAGGCAGAGATAACAGGTTTCAAGCACACTGATAAATGAACCGGCTTACCCTTCTTGTAACAATAGGATCAACATCTTTAGGATCATGGTGACTAAGGGTCATGAGATCAGCATTAAGAGTTCTTATCCGCTGCAATCGGAGACGGATATATCTTGCAGAGGTAAATTCCAGTAATGCTGGCGAAGGGTCATCAGCACTAGGTCTCCCATTAATCAGTGATGTGTGTATCTAAAAAATAAGACTAATTTAATTATAAGCACATTGTCCATATCTGTGTAAAAATAACTGGTGTTTCCTCATTCATAGGCTTCTGTAGGAATTTAGAATTATTTACCAGCCAATGAGCTTATAGTACAGAAACAAAACAAAACAAAAAGCTTTTGTATGCTAGCAAACAGGTCAAAAGAAAAATGGTGAACAATCAAAATTTTGTGACACTCAGGCCAAATAGTGCTTTATTTTCTTATTTGCAGTTTGTTATACATAAAATTCTTTCTTTTATATTTGCTTGTTTAAAACTGCTTTTTCAAAGTCTTTTTTTTTAAAGCAAGAACTCAAGAACACAATAACAGAACTGGACTGATCTGCACAAGATTTACCAAATTCAAATTCTATTATGTTCACTGAATACCTCCTCTCACACACACATCCCTTACATTCCTTCTTAAAGATGTTGAATCAGCTGTCTGTATCTCATACAAATTCTTTTTTTTCTATGGGGAGATAAATTCTGCCAAGAGTGGACCTCCCCGGAAATTTCTAACTCGCAATCCTGACAAATGGCTGCTTTAGAAGTTTGAAAAAAGCACTGGAAGATCAGCAGTCCTTGACCTGTTACTAACTAACAGGGGAGAATCAAAGGAATAAACAGTGTGGAAATGCAATCATGCTGAACTTATGGATTTTACAGGACACTAAATGTGCTTAAAGAGGTATTCAAAAATATCCTTCAAAAATATAGATTAAAAGAAACCCAAGAACAATCCGCAGGACTGCAGGATCCCTCAGCAAAAGGATATAATAGGAAAAGGAACTTTAAGGTAGGTAGCAATTCCTAAAAGGAAGGTACTAAAAGCAGAACGGGAAAAATTCCAAAGAGGAAAAAAAATATGAGAAATGGCAATAGAATCCCACAGCTCAAAAAAAGTCTAATGCAAAGTTGAAAATGAATGACATATGAGACAGAAAAAGGGACTAGTCACTAAGACTATAGGCTATAGAGAAAGCGCCAAGATGTATGCAGAGCATATTTCTTGTTTTTTTTTCCATATCCCTTTAGCAAAATTGGACATTGGAAGTATGTATATTTTCTTCTTTGTAACAAAATAATGGAATGCATTCCATCTGTGCATATGTTCGCATGTGTGTGTGTTTCTGTTCTCCTCATCTGTTACATCAGTATATGTGCACTGGGAAGTTCAGGAAGAGCTATACTTCATGACCGTTCATTCAGTAACTATTGAGAGTTTCAGCAACATTGAATGAAAGTTACTGCTGATCCTCAAACTTCTGGCTGTTGCAGTACCCTCCTGTTCACCTGATCAGAATTTGGGGACTTGACAGCTTGCCTGCACTTATAATCACAGGAGCAATTCAATGCCCTCAACCTGCTGTGAGCTACCGAGCGCTCATGTGAAGCAGCCTGAACAACCAATCTGCGGATTTCAACATGTTGAAATTGCAGACCCTGCAAGGCTTTGTAGGATGAAGGCTGGGCCAAGAACAGAGGACCTACAGGTAGACTCTGCTGTTACTGGGCTCACCTTCACCCCTCACTGAAGCCTGCTGAAGGACTTCCAATGTGATATGCAGAACATGCTTTGGCTCTCCAAGAAGCCTTTGTCCCTCCACTTCCTACAATTCTGCCACCACTCTGAACAATGTCTTCTTCATAGCCTCTACCCAGGGAAACACGACAGCCTCTCCAGCCTTGCCTGCAACAAAGCATGCCATGCCTCACCATCCTGTCCCACTCCCTCACTCCCTTGTTGGGCCTGGCAGTCTCCCCTGTGCTCTGCACGGCTTGCACATCTCAGGGCTGCCCCCCTCATCTGAATCCCTGGCCAGCAGCAGCAGGAGGATGAAAACAATGAAGTTGACAGCTGGATTTTTGTTTAAATAATTTGAGAACTTAAACCTGCCTTCTCCTACTTGGATGCTCTCCAGATGTTGACTTTAATTCAAAGAATTCTCCATGATATAAAATCTGTCTGGAACGTATAGACGCTAATTCCATTTAACTTTAAAAGTCAGGAAAGCATTAAACCCAGTTAAAAGTCTAGTAAAATTTCCTAACATGCTTTATTCTAAATTTCTTTCAATTATGAGGATTAGAACAAATGTTTCAGCTCAGGAAACATCAGAAATATCCAGCAATCTGATATCTCAATTTAACGTTGGACCATGCTTGTAACTGGGCCTAAAGCAGCAATTTAGCATTTACTAAATTAATGTTACTAGTGTTTTAGTTCCAAATGCATACTCTTTTAAGGAAAATTTTAGATTTCTTTTCTAGTAACTTTGTATTGAAGTCAGAGTTCTATATGCATTCATTGTAGGTTAATTTTCAATGCACAATTTCCTTATAAGATGGGTTGCTTCTCTGATCTATGCCAGATAGCAAGTATGAATAGAGCTGCTTGAAAGGAATAACAATCAACTGTTGACCTGCCAATGCCAGCTCTTTTGATCAAGCTCTCCTTGAAATGATGCCAACAATTATTTCAGAGTTCAAGCTGCATACAGTCATTTAGATTTTTATTCCAGTGTGTTATTTTTTTCCTAAAGCAATTAAACAATTTTATTAAAAACTTTCTCTACAAAACAATTGAGATCCAGCTAAAGGAGAATATACATTTTATCTATTGTGTTATTTATGAAGCTTATCAACTGTCCTATTTTTATAAGCAAACAAACTAGACCTCAACATTTGAAATAAAAATGTAAGTGTAAAGAAAAACAACATAATCAATACAAATAAAAATCATTTTTATAAATTCTGAGAGCGTACAGACAAATTTGCATCCTTTAGGAGAAAAATACAAAAGAATTGTAACCAGAACAAGGCCCTTCCCGTTTATTAGAAATAGATACTGGCATTTGGTCAACATCTTCAAAGGGGCTCTCCAAAATATGGAACAGGTTCACAGCAGAAGAGGTATTTTATCCCTCTGATAAACACCTTGAATTATGCCTAGAAAACAACACCCATTATAGATTTTTCTATAAAGACATATAATCTCTGTACTTTTCCTTTTCTGGGTTAGCAACCTCATTGCAGTACTTTGCATTAATTTCAAATTCTAAACATTTTTCAAATACAGCACCATACAATGTGTTGCACTAGTTTAGTATCAAAACAAAGAATAATTTCCTTGTTCAGATACTACCAGATCTGTGGAATTCTACTTCAGAGGAGACTAAAAGTGTCCCCTGCAAGAAGTGTTTCATAAATTGGAAAGCTTTTGATCCTCAGAAATTAAACTTGCCTCAGTTGCTACTAATGATGGATAAAAGATGGGTGGAGGAAAAACAGAATGAACTTTTCAGCAGAGAGATTTTTGTTAACGCCTTATCATTTTATTCCTTCCACGGCCACAAATAATAGGCACATGAACCAAAAGAAAACATACCTCTCCGTGCTCAAGTGGAACAAGTTTAGAATAATAGGAAGTGCATATCACTTCATTGTCTTTCTTATATGTAGGAGGACCAAGTCTTGGTGTCACGTTGTATCTGGTTAGACACTCGGTATCGCTAATTGCATAGTATTGCCAGGGGCTGAATTCAATACCATTCACAGAACGTTCCAAAATCCAGTTTCCGGGCCTTGGAGCATTAGCAGCTTTTATGATGATGTAAGCAACTTGAAAGATCTAAAAATAACATAACAAAAAGGACCAATCTTTTATCAGAAACATGTCCAAAATCAGGTTTACAGGCTTCAGTAACATGCAAGGCTACTTCTTTTGATTATATAATTTATTATAGAAATACTTTGCATTACATTTCAACTGCTGATTATAGTTCCATGAGTGTTCTTTATACAGAGTTCAATTTAATTTTGATCTAATTTTCAGACTAAAAAGTTACATATTTTTCCCATCATATGAAACCTTTAAAACCAAGCATTGAGGGAAAACAGAATTAAAATGTAGCATCATAAATATAAAACAGGAGTAAAGGCTGAAAATTAAATTTTAATTTAAAATTTAAAAATATTTTAATATTACTTGTTTGTGCTAGCTTATAGGTCCATGCTAAAAGGTCTCCTTCAGATTGAATATATACAAAGATATATGCAAAGATATATCTTGACATTCCTAAAAATTTAATTGTAATTTAATTTATAAGATTTATTTTAATTATTTATTAAATATATTTATATGCTCCCACAATAAAAAATAATTCTCAGGAACACCATCAAAATACACTAAAACAAGTCCATGTGAAAGTAAAACACAACATTTACATGCCCTGATAGCAAGAAACAGTTTGATTATTTAAATCATGATTTTCTCTTTTAAGTACTACAACATATATTTTTAAAAAGCTTGATCTAACAGACTGCCATTTAACCATAAAATATCTAATGAGAGCCATACTATCCTATTTGTGTGATTTAAGACAATTATGGGTCTGGTAATTCTGTAATTAGGTCTGTGTAACTCTGCAATTGCTTATTTACATAATTTCTAACATAATCAACAAATTGCAAATAATACAGCATCATAAAAGTACCAGTTTAAATTTATACCAGTTTGCTATGTATAAGTAGTTTCCAGCAACGATATTATTTCATTACTCAGGTGCAATATCTGAGTTTAAAAATGTGCATAATGCAGCTGTAGTATTTCAAAATAAATTTCACTTCTAATGTTTTCCCACTACTTGTGGGAAACTGAGATCCCTTAGGTACCACAGCCTATCATAATGTAATAATTGCATGGAATAGGGGGGAGCTTTTATTTCAGTGCTTTCTTCAAAGGAAAAATTTCTCATCTTAATATATTTGATACAGCTGTGTATGCCATGTTGTATCTTTTTTTTAGGTTTTTTAATGCAGGTGTGCCTTAATGAATAGGCCAGGGATGCTGTGATTATGCAATGATGAATATTTTTTTCCTAATAAATTTAAAGTGTGCACATCCTTAATATTTAGGAACTATCAGAATTAACATTCCAGCTGTTGTATGTTAGAACTCACTAAGCAAATACTTGTAAATGGTGTTTTTTAATTCTACTTAATTCTACTTTTCAGGGGACAGCAGGGAGAAACGGCCAAGAATGTAACCTGCAGTAATACTTCTATGCAATCAGGGGTCCTTGGTGCTCCCTAAGTTTGGCTGTTTTAGTGAAGACATTTCATTACCAGACTAGGTAACACCATCATCACGAGCACTGATGATATTACTTAGTTCGGGTAACGGAATGTCTGCAAGAAAACAACCAAGCTCAGAATGCACCAATGACCTCTCATTTCAACCCTGAGCTACAAATATTCTCCTTTATTTATTCTATGCAATCACCACATATTTCAGGACTGAATTTTTCTACAGTGACTCTGAACTCATCTTTGTCTATGCACAAATTTTCTGAGTTAGTTATTGATTTTGATACAGTATTTGCAAATCATCAGGAAACAGTTGGAGCTGAAGTGCATTACTGGACCACATGTTATAGCACCTTTCTTTCCCATTCCCATATTCGTAATTTACAGTGTTTCTGAGTAACTTTTCCCCTACAAGAAATCACAGGTGGAGTTGGTCTGATTCCAAGCAAAAGTAGAGGCATAAATCTTTCCCTATTCTTCATAGAATCAGAGAATGAATTAGTGATACAAATGAAATGAAAAATGCATGGAACAAACATATTTTGGTGCAGAGGTTCAGCAGGACCACTCTGCATAGACCATTATTTTAACTTCCATTAACCACTGCCAAGTTCATTCATTCATTCATTCATTCATTCATTCATTCATTCATTCATTCATGTACAGCTTAGGTCAGTCAACTGCAGATAACTCAGGGTGACAGACATTAAAAGCAAAAGACATTAAAAAGAAAAGGAAATGAAAGAGATCATAAACTTTCAAAAGGAAAACTCCATATAACAACAAAACATCCTATGATGGCTCTACCGATACTCTGACTCAAAGATGGGGAAAACAGGAATATTTTCAGCAACTTTCTGAACACCATCAGAAGGGAACTTAGGTGTGTCATACACTGGGTCTACCCATACCTACCTGAAATTTCCTGTGTCACCAGTGTCATCCCATACCCACCTGAGCCCTCTCTCTACCACTCCATTCTTTCCTTTCTAACTGCCACTTCATTCCTACCGTTGCACCCACTTGGTCCAGATATCTTACTTCTCTAGCAATGCAAAGCTTCTTTCCCACCCAACCCTCTACTTTCTACTTTCCTGGCTGCCATTTTTCTATAGCCATTTGCTGCTTCCATCCAGCACCACCTATTTTTCATCTCCAGTGCAAACCTTCCTTTCCTGCTCTCATTGCTTAGCACCCACCTGACACATACATTCTAATTCTCCAGGTTCACAAGCTGCAAGCTTTCCTTTTCTCAGCTCTCTCTCTACAACTCCAAAAGATCTTTGCTAGAATGCACATGTTCCAAGTCCATGCACAGACCTAGCACAAATGCTTTGGAGTTAAATCTGAATTACCCTATATCCTTAAGTCATGCACGGAAATTGTTGCACACTTTTTAACTTAGATGAGATGGAAATGATCCAGTAGGTTATCTGATTCAATTTCCTGCTGGATTCAGAAGTTCACAAAACCCTAATTAACAGGTCAGCCCCTGTTTGAAAACCTCTAGTACGTCTAGGTCGAACACTTTTCTAGACAGATTATTCCTTACTATAAAGAAACTTCTATTCAGCACCCAATTCTCCTTGAATCAATTAATTTTAATTTCAACAACAAAAATGAGTTTTCTCCTTTAGGGAAACATTACAGTCATTTGTATAAAGTTAGCTAATAATTTCCTTACTACAGATTGCAGGGTTGCCTCAAACCATAATGTTCTAATGATAAATAATGCATGACTAGTTAGGATGTAGGAAATAAATGGAAGCAGCGAATGCAAAGAAACCTTTTGTTGCATTTCCCATCAACAGTTGCTCTATTGTTCTCCCTTCACAGCCACATGAACAACAGCACAACTACCAAGGCACAAAAAATCCATTAATATGCTCTTGCTAGCCTCCAGGTCTTTCCCCTTTTCACTTTGTTATTCTTTTATTTGTTCTGTTTTCTCATGTATGATACTTGGCAATATGAAATGGGAAGGGAATGATAGAAATTATTGGAGGTGTGATATACTATTAAAACCAGGGGTGGGATTCTACCAGTTCGCACCTGTTCACTAGAACCGATTGTTAACATTCCAAGCAGTTCGGAGAACTGGTTGTTAGAAGAAATTATGGGCCTAATCCTGTAAGGAAAGCAGGAAGGAAACATTCTGGTGCTGCTTACAGAAACTGCCTGTTAACCTTTATTACGTTCTTGGCAGGACTAGACTTCCTGTCTCTGGAACTTCTCCAGAGTTTTTCCCCCCTCCTTTGCTGGTACTTTGCTTGTGTGGAGTGACCATTCAAAGTTACAATGGCACATTTTTCACACTTACCACCGCTGCAACATCCCCATAGTCATGAGAGGCCAGGCGAGGAGATGCGTGCCTCTATGTGAGTGATGTTGAGTTGGCCACACCCAGCCAAAAACATGACCACCAAGCCATGCCCACCAACTTAGCCACGCCCACAGAACCAGTTAAAAAAATTGAATCCCATCCCTGATTAAAACCATTATCTGTAGCTAAGGAAAAGAAAAATAAACTCTTAATAAAGTCCACCAGAAAATATCAGAGACTGGTAACTAAAAAAATGCAGATACCCAAATAAGGCAACTAGAAATCATTCCATTACTGTAGCCAAGAAAACAACAAGTACATAAAGTTATGAAAGATCAGGACTGACCAGAAAGATATTTTACCTGCAATCTTTTCTATTCCTGGTCTTATATCTACCAACCTGACTTCATAGACCAGGTGCAAGAAACTGTCCAAAACAGTTTGCACACAACTGATTAAGAACTATGGTTTATCTTAACTATAATTAACTGAAAATCATGTCACCATGATTGAAATTCCATCCCTTTGTACATTTGTGTGACATCAACCAGGGCAACTGCAAGCTGTGACTACTATCTTGCCTACTTTGATACTCCTCCCAGAAGATACTTCTAGGAAAATATAATACGAATCCAAGGATCACCCTAACAAATCATTACTTAGCATTTCATAAATTGTCAGATTTACCCAACAGGCTGAACTATTGTTAATTAGATAAAATCACAAAAATTCAAGAACTTCTGCTAAGTAACTTTTATCAGGGCAAAAAAGGAAGCCATAACAAAATAATTTTGAGATGTCATTTTGTTTCAAAAGCAAGTTCTAAATCTACATAATGATTAAATAATTCCACATCTATTCCTCTTTTCTTCCCACTCTTAGCAGTTTACTATCTTCCACGAAAGAGGGCTGATTTTCATCATCTTGTGTTTTACAATGAGCAGATTTACTATCAAACTATGTTTCACTTACTGTATTAATTCTCCAAACTAATGCTTTAATTTATATCTTCTTAGAAAATGGTTAATAATTCAAGATTAGTTTTAGAAATTATTATATATGTATCTCCCTTGAGGCAATTCAAACAGCTGAAGAACTTGGAACACATTCGGCAATTTCCCCATTTTAAAATTAATAACTGAGAAGTAATCATTCACAGATCCCAAGCAATCTTTATTAAGCCAAATGTTTTCTTACTGAGAACAAATGTATATTGGTATGAAATCCTTTTTTTAAAAAAAATGCTGTAAAGCAGAAAGAAATAAGGAAAAACAGGCATTTCATGGTGAAAGGTAGAAATGTAATGAATACTGGAATGCCTTAAGAAGATGCAATGCCAATTTGGAAAGACTTTCTACATATTAATGATATGATGCTTCTTTTTAAAAAGTTAATTAAAGTCTGGATAATATGTTTAGCAGTGAACTGCAGATGGGCCAATGTTAATTTTGTCTCTTACAAGTTTAATTTTGAATCAAATACCATATAATGAAAGGCTAGTTCAAAGCTGATAAAATATATATCAACTGCAAATTACTCAATCAGAGCTGCTTCCATATTTATATAACTAGCTAGGTCAACAGCTGTTTCATATTTTAAGTTATCACAACTGTTCATAGAAAAGTGATCTTTTTTACAAATAATGGCTTAGTATTGAGACATAAATTGCTTTTCTGCGTATGCTTTCATCTTTAAAGCTCTCCAGAGAAATAATTTTCTTATCTCCTGATGGGGTTTTGATATATAATTTCAAAATAATCCTTTAATTCTTTTTCAAAAGATAATCATTCCATTTTAGCAAATATTAAGAATGTATGTATGAGTATCTATGAATTTTGGTCACTTATTTTCAGTTTATTCAGTTAGTGCAGAACATATAGCTAAGCTGCACTAACCAAAATGCATTTTTAATATAACAGTAAAGAAAAACAACTACTACGTTTTCTATAAGTTGTTAAATACAAATGAAATTGCCTTCATTTCATCTTTGTTCTCACCCCAGGCATTGCCTTTTTGAACATTTCTTAGCACACTATTCAAGATCAAATATTGCACTCAATCCAGAGAAAGCTCAGTACTTCTTGCTGAATTCTAGTAATCAAATGCTTATGAAGGAAGGATGAAAATGTAAGTGATATGTCACATATATTGCTGATATATATAGGGTCAATCAACTGAGTGTCAGCTCTGCAATAGTTCAAAGCAATTCTGACATTTGCTAGTACAGTGTGTCGATATGTACCAGGAACAGAAAAATGTTAAATGCAAGACTCAACTGAACCATGCATGCATTGAGTTGCTATCGGCATTTATTTATCTCAATCCAATCTACCTCACAGAAATGTTACAGAGATAAAGATAAGGGTGACCTTCATGTTCTAAGAAGCATGAGATAATTTTCCAATTGCTATCACTGTACACTAGAGAGCAATAATTAAAAAAATCAAATAGTCCTTTAGGAATGAAAACAAACTGCCTCTACTTACCTGTCTTAGGTCTAGAGTAATTGTTACCCAATGGTATTCTCTTCCATTCTGAATGCTAGGACTTTGCCACCAGTGATTAGTACCATCTATAGCATTTGAGATAGGATGTTGCTCTAAAATAAACACAAATTACAATCAAATTTTCCCAGTTTCTTTTAATGTATTATTTCCATGCTACAACCACTCACATATATTAATGTATACAAGTTATAAAAAGAAAATAAATCAGTTAAATCAATCTAGACTATGCTATATAAGACCAGACCACAAATCTAAGATTAAATACAACTCAGAATTATGTTTAAATTGGAGCATTCAAATGATATGACCTTACTAGCTGTATGCTCTATTCAAAAAATTGTGTGTAGAGCAGGGATGTCAAACTAGTGGCCCACAGGCCGGATGCATCACACGCAGGCCATGCCCACCCCAGCTCCACGTATGGGAAAAATGTCACAAAACATCATATGATGGCAACATGACACAGCATGCTTGACACCAGTGGTGTAGAGAATAAGAAAAGAAATATGCAGGTAGTTACTTAAATTCAGAACAAGGTGATAACATTCAGAAGCAGCTGAACACTTTTAATTTAGCCAAGTATAAGAACAATATACTATGCAGTATTCAGTATAATCAGAGTTGCAAAATTCTATTCCTTCCTGGTCTGATCTACTTGATAGGGCTGACAATGATTCACAGATATCTGAAAAAAGTACAATGTAATAAACTTGCCTTTGGAATTTGCACTATTGTAATCACACATTCGACATTGTGCATTGCGTAGGGGTCGACCTGGAACGTGTTCCACAAGTTTACAAAACATTTCGGGGCCTTTTTCACCACATGTAGCATTAGTGCTGATATGAGCATTACTAGCTAGGTTTAGAATGGCAGGAAATAAACCTGAAAGAGATTAGATGTCAATCTTTATTAATATTTATGGCAGTCTTTATCAAATCCTCAAATAATTTCTTATGTGTGAGTAGCAACATGCTCTAAATTTGCTACATTAACAAATAATTGTTTTATTATAATATATCACAGAATATCACAGAAAGAGAATCACTATATGAAGAATAGTTCTCTGAACTTTATGAAAGGGTGTTTTTCTTCATCATAGACCAATTTAATCAATATTTTTGCCAACAACTAAGCTATATTAAGAGGATACTTTAAAACAGAACAAAAAAATAAAAATCTTCTCAAATCTTTAACTGTGATAGTAGGCTTTTTTTTTAGGAAAGTCCCATTAATATAAGAATAGCAATACTTCTCATGAAGATTTTTCTTACCTTTTTGGATATTAGAGCAGATACGCTTAAAGTTTATCTAGAAACTACATCCTTGGTTTTTTTTACCCCTCTACTCAATTTGATTGTGGTAGGATAGATAGGATTTTAGCCCAACAACAGTCACAAGTTAAGCAACAAACAAGTACAAATGAATAGTAGCTAGAGATAAAAACTTAATGAGAAATAACTAAAATAAGATTGACCAGTGGGGAAAAAACTGTACTAGTTTTAATAGTAGTTATTACCCTTTATGATTGAAAAACATTAGTACCCTTTTAATTGTTTTAATAGTGTCCTTTAATAGATTAGTGTCCTTGAAAACCTGGAAAAAGCACTTGGACCTTATAGGAATGGATAGAATCAGTTCATTAATTATAATGATTTGTATTACTCCTATGCACAGTCTTGCTGTGGAAGTACCTAAAGTGCTTTCTAGGTTAAAGGATAAGCGTTACCTGGGACTGCATTACTTGGCCTAGCACATATATTACTTATGTACATTACTACTAATAGTCGATGTTTCAAATCCAGAACCTGATAAATGGGTGGTAGTTTTGGTGCTGGTGGTGGTATTGATATCTACACCTTTGAAAAGACATACAGTGAATGTAATTTGCACTGACTAAACAACCTGGGAGTAATACAACAAGCTCTATTTTATAGGTTTGCTGGATTCCAATATATCACATTAAGCCAATTTGTTTAATTATGATTTGAAAATAAAGAATATTATCAGGATTCACAAATAGTCCTAAACTATATATTAAATTTAACAAAGGATAGTCAATTAACACAACACCTTACTAACTCACGGACAGTATAAAGCCTCACATGGCACACTAAAGTTTGTATCTCAAAAGTACAATTCCATTGGCCCAATTCAGAGTATGGGAAGTGCTGTAGAGTTGTAATGCATATCTTTAGTCATAAAGGGGCTCCCATTTTTCTAACTAAAATCTTCCTCATAAAGCACAATAAACGAGATTTAGTGACTGAAATTATGGGACTGAAAAAGTGATTTATAACCATTTTTCATGTTTACGAACATTGCAGCATCCCCATGGTTACATAATCAAAATTCAGATGCTTGCAACTGGCATATATTTATGAAAGTTGCAGTGTCCCAAAGTCATACATTCCAACCTTCTGACAAGCAAACTCAATGGGGAAGCCAAATTCACTTAACAATCATGTTATTAACTTAACAATTGCAATGATTCACTTAATAAGAAAGGTCATAAAATAGGGACAAAACAGATTTAACCACTGTCTTGCTTAGCAATGGATATTTTAGGCTCAGTTGTAGCCATAAGTTGAGTACTACTTGTATGTGATTTTTATTGCAACAGACTAATAAGGTTGCTCCCCAGGAAACTGTAAATATATTTAGGATTTGGGACTACCAATTTTCTGGATCTTATTTTTTTTCTTTAACTTTTGTTAGTTGAAAAAGCACTAATGAGATAGTAATGCTAATTTGTGCTTAGGAAAATAAACAAATGAGGCAGCATTAATTTAAACAAGCAAACTGTGAAGAATTGGAGTTCTTTCAAAACTTTTTATCTACCATAATAATGTGGCATTCAATTTGTGTTTTTTTACCCAACTGTGCATTCTTTCTTTTAAGAGCCAGATAAGTTGTCTCAGTTTTTTTTAAAAAATGATAGAAGGATATCCAAGATTATTTCACTTCGGAACAAAGTTGTATCTTGAACATAAAAATGCCTTCTAAATATAGCATGAAAATAAATTTCACTGAAGTTGCTGTAATTTGAATAAATACCTACGTAATGCTAAATCAAAAAGCATAATTCACCGTGTTTGAATAGACCACATTAGATATTGAGGAATAATTCAATTTATAGTTAGTGCTGAGAAATATTTTTGGTTATAAAACTGACTGCAATCACAGATCCATTTTCCATTTTAGCATTTAAATTTCATTTTGCAATCTTCTCCTTTATACCTGGGAAAGTTTATCTGACATTTATAATTATAGTACTGAATTTTTAAAAGCGTACCCACTTGAGCTGGGAGAAAGTAGTAGAGATTTTGACTATTATAGTATTCAAACAGAAGAGTACATCGATATGTGTATATTTTATTTCAAAACAAATATTCTGGATATCTTTTACATAATGATATTCTATCACCCTTAGTACGGAAATTTCAATGGGTTAGAGCAGGGGTGTCAAACTTGCGTCATCACGGTGGCATCATGTGACATATCACTTTTTCCCCTTGGCTAAAGCAGACATGGGCATGGCTAGCGTGTAACGTATCAGGGCCGGGGCCACAAGTTTGACAACCCTTGGTTAGAGGGTTAGAGAGGCTGAATATATACTCAAGTATGAATGACATTTGATTTAAAAAGTGATAAATTTTTCAGGGGGAAAAATTTCCCTGTCCTCTTATTTATTTAAGGGCAAGCTGTTGTATTCTGTCTAATCATTTAAGTATAGTTGCATAAATTCTGGAGAAGGTCTGTGCTCTGGTGATTCAAGTCCTACCAACATGTGATGGAGTAATTCCTGTCACATGCCTCAGCTCCTGCCAAGCTACAGTTCAAAACCATGTTACATATAGACTGCATACAGATAAATAGGTATCACTTCGGTGGGAGAAATAATAGCGCTTCATGTGGAAGTACGATCCCAACCGGTGCAGGACCTGCCCGAATGCCCAAACGCGAGACAATATCTGTGGAGGGAAAAACACCAGATGACACAGCAGATTGCTGTTAACCATTCTGAGTGTGGCACTAGTTCATCCCGTGATGCACCATGGATAGTGCATGAGCATGAACCAAGCATACAAGAGTAATCTTAGGCAGCCAAACAATTACTCTGTACTAACACTGTAGTATCCTGGCTAATGTCATACACTAAATAAATAAATGCTTTCAATCTTACCACTCAATTGGGCCTCCTTTGAGAGAGTGTTTTAACTGAGCATTTGTTACCTGCCCCACTTCCAAAGGAATTGAGTTCTACTTGTGCGAATTTTTTCATTCTCTTGAAACTGGTAATAAAAAATTAAATGGCACATTGTCCTGCAACAAAATAGCTGTTCTACTTTATTTAATGCTGCAACTTTGCTTACAATGCCTGACTTGTCTAGGAGAAAAAATTATAACCAATTGAAGTATAGCTTATTCAAAAATTATAAATATACTTTCCTCATCAGTATCAAATATATCATCTATCATTCAGTCCAGATATCTTGTTAATAATTAAATCTTTAGATTTTTTTGCATCAGGAGATAACAAATATACTTTTGTACTTTTAATTTTGAAAAAGAATGTACAGTTAATACAGATTAATTTTTGGAAAACTGCCAAAGCATATATTTGTTGTAACTTGCACAAAAATGTCCCCCAAAGAAGTTATATACCAAAAAAATAAATACAACTGTCAATGCATAATAGCTGTATGAAATCTTAAATATAAACTAATTTTAATTATTTAAATAGTGTGTCTATGAGTGTGTGTTTAAAATTATTAAACTATGCTATAGATTTCAATATTCTATTTTAGTCAATTTCATTTTCTATATATAGCACTAGGACAATATGATGATTTTTCTGTCACATATTCTATTCTCTTTATTCTCAGCAATCTCTCTGTCTTTCTCTTGTTTTCTCTCTCTCTCTCTCTCTCTCTCTCTTTGTGTGTGTGTGTGTGTTTAAATAATAAATAAATTTTAAGAGGTTTGAATACACAGACATAAGTACATTATTTTTGTTCTCCGCAAAGAATGCATCCTTGTCTTGCAATGCATTTTGCAATACTTTGGACAACGTTTTGAAGCCATTAATTCCAAGAGGAAGTAATAAAACCATCTGCTTTTCTGTTTGAATATTTCAGTGTCGACGTGATCTCATTAAAGCTCACAATCCTCTAAACTCCTTCAAGTTACAAACTTCACAGATAATATTTCTTATCAGTTTGGCACCACCATCCCCTGCTGACAATAAAAAAGAAATCTTCCTTCCAGAAGATAAAAAGTGATGTATACATAGAAATCCTATAAAAGATTGGGGCAGCTACAGTTTTTGGTAAATATATTGGAAAAACATAAGATTTTTATTTTGGAGTAATACCTAATTTCTTGGATTTTTTTTATATCCCCCCCCCCCCCCCAGAAAAAAAAGAAACAGAACAGGAACAAATTTACATCTACAAAATAATTGTCACAAACACTAAACTGCTGTTTCAAGAGGCAATATGAGGATTTTATAAAAGTTGTAGTACAACCATTAAATATTTTTAACAATTTTTGATATTTATTTATTTTTTAAAAAATTAAGTAACCTCTTAATATAGCATGGTTTTCTAACGTATATAGTATTTCGTTATCCTGTCTAGAAGATAACAGCAAGGAGTGTTCCAAGGAGAGCAGCTGTTGAATCCTTATTAAAGAACAAAGGGAACTTTCAGAAGAATCCTTCTGTCTTTAAGTCCTGTAAATACCTGCAACTAATCAGTACGTGCTGATATTTTTTTGGTACACAAAAGACAACATTTTCTGACATAGGCAAAATTATTTGTTTAGTAAACTTAATCTTTATCCTATTCAAAACAGCTTCACAATATTTGTAGGTATGGGCATAATAAATGCTATTTTATTCTAGCTGGAGTTATAAATATAGGTAGTCCTCAACTTATAACCACAATTGAGCCCAACATTGCTAAGAGCCCAAAATTTCTGTTGCTAAGTGAGACAGTTGTTGAGTGAGTTTTACAACCTTTCTTGCCACAGTTGTATGGTTGTTAAGTGCATCTGGCTTCACCATTGACTTTGTTTGTCAGAAGGTCGCAAAAGGTAATCACACACAAATCTGGGAGACTGGAACCATCATAAATATGAGTCAGTCGCCAAGCATCTGAATTTTGATCACATGACTATGGGGATTCTGCAATGGTCATGTGAAAAACGGCCATAAGTCACTTTTTTCACTGCCGTTGTAGCTCTAAACAGTCGCTAAACGAACTGTTGTAAGTAGAGGACTACCTGTGATAACCAATTTATTTTGCAAACAGTGCATGACAATCAAATTAGTGTGCAATTAATTAGAAAGAGAAGTAGGGTTATTTATAACTGCTTTTCATCTACTCGGAGCAAAATATACAAGTCAAAACATTTGAATTTCGGGCCTTTACCTACTCCATTCTGGGTATGGCAAGCTATAGGAAGAGCACAAAGAAGAAATGGAAGGATAAGAGAAAAGCAAGCATTTGAGTCGGTTCATTTTTCAAAAGAAATTCTTGTTTGCCTTGGAGATGCCAATCAAATATTTGGGTGGGGGAGGAAGCTTTAATAAAAATTGGGGGCTGAGAAGGATTTCCTGTGCCCTTTATCCAGCTGTGTGATGATGTTATATCAGGTATTGCTGATATGACCTAGAGACGTAGTTATTTGTAGAAAAGTTCTGACTCATCAGTCATCTTCACTATAACTCAGAAAAAGTAATCATCTTTTAAAATAGTTTTATCATACT